GCACTTTGTTTTGGGTGTCAGGAACAGATTAACCCATTTTATGTTGTTTCCTATGGGAAAATTTGTTTTGGTTTGAGAACAAGTTTTAGGAATAAATTAAGTTTGTTAATTGAGGTTTGACTATATTTTATAATCCAGTAATTACTAAAGATTATAGCATTTCCTTAAATGCTTCATAGTTTTTACATTTAAAATTCTTGTAAACTAGAATCTGAAGATAGCTTAAAATGTCTTCTTATAAATTTCTTCTAGATTATAAAAATTTTTGTTTCAATCTGTAAAATATAGTAAATACTTTCAAATTTGAATGTATATGTTACTTTAGTTTGGATATATTACAACCTGATGTTGGGGTAATGACATTCCTTGGTTCCTTGCATTGTTTTTGGTTTGATTTCTATCTAATACATAGAAGATTTGATGATGAGACAAGGAAGTACTGAAAAATGTTTTATTCATTAATAAATGCTGATTTATATACTTTATATAGCATTTCTTTAATTTTGTTGAATTCTCTATACAGTCTGTAGACTTAAACTCGTGTGACCATATTGTCACAAGTTATTACATGTTATCAAGACAACAATTTGTTAAGCTAACAAAAGTGGTATGTAATAAAAAAATCAACTATTTTTATTATTACTATTGAAAATATAGCAGACTAAAATTTTGATTGTAAATCAGTTCATAGCTTTGAGAATGCAAAAATATTCCTCATTTTTTTGGACAATTAAAAAGTTGTTATGAGCACCAATAAAAGTTTAGAGTTATGTTGAAAAACTTTGGTACATATTATGTCCATATTTACTATCTCAAGTTTGTTATTATTTAACACGTTGATTGCCAATAATTACTGTATTTTCCCAGAATGACCAGTATGCCGCATAAAAATGGGGGAGACTGGAATACTGGTTAAACTATGACTAAAATATAAAATTAATCAGATCTAACAAAACTAGTTGTTAAGTAAATGTTAAAGAAAACATTCTTCAAGTACAGTAAAATAACAACATTGTAATTTGATAAACTTAAAATCAGGAAGAGAGTTATCATATACTAGACAATAAAACAATTAACAAGCTATTGACATTAGTAGTAGTAGTAATTAGTCAGTTGGGATACACTGACCATCTATGAATCTGAAAATAAACACCTTCCTCTCAAATTTCACATGAAGCAGATGTTAATCAGTGTAAGAGGAGATAATTTACTGAGTTTAAATTTAATATGTTTATTTTTGTGTTTTTGAATCAAATAATAAAATATACATAAAAAAAGAAACTTTTGGAATTCCAAGAGTATTTTAAGTGGTTAGAAAGAAGACAGAATGAAGAAATTAAACATATATTTGTAGTTTTTGAAATAATACCGACAGTTTCAATTTTAGAATAAAAACTTCTTGGTTTTTTAATGCACCTTTAGAGAGTGATCTAACCTCATTTAAACCGGCATGTCAGCTTTTCTCATACAGAAATATCTGATTTCATGGTCTCCCTGGATAGACTGGCATGATGATCATTTTGCGAAAATACAGTATTATTGTACATATAATAACATCGTAAAGCCCGAGTAGTATACAATAAATCACCAAACGTTCACCTAAATATCGGGCTATAATATGGTTAATTAAATGCTATTATTATGCTAATTATAATATGGTATAATGTAATTTGTCATTAGAGGCCTACTTAAGAGATGGCGCCTAACGTCTACCTCTAATGACAAATTACTTTATACCAATCATTTAATTAGCCATATTATAGCCCGATATTTAGGCGAACATTTGGTGATTTACGGTATTATTGGTGATACATTTTGAAAAAAGAAATTCAAACTGGAAAATAAAATAAAAATATCACACAAACAATGTTTTCACTTTCCAGCATGTTGTTTAATGTTTGACAAACATTTTCAAAGTGCTTTACAGCTCAACTTCAGATCTACATGTAGATAAACATTGTTTTTGCTCTATTTATGGAACATTTACAATGATTTTTAAATTTTGGAGTTTACATCTAAAATAATTAGTTATTATATATAAAGAAAAAAAAAAGGAAAACGCAGGAGGAGGAGAATTGTTGTTGTGATTATTGATGTTTTAATAAAAATTAAGATTTTTATGTATTTGAAATTGCTTTTTTTTCTATAGCATTAATTTTCTGTAAGACAATATACTGATTGTAAAAGTTTAAACATGTAAAACTTATCTATAAATAGGAAAAAACATTTGACATTGTATACAAATTATATATAGAGATATTCGCTCCATCAGAATAATTTCTATGTGCTTCTCTTCTTGTATCCATCAAAATACATTCAAAATTAATGGAGTAGTTCATAATAAATTATATATNTAGGTTCCAAAAATTAAAAAAACATGCTGCTAAATCCTTATTTAAATCGGATTTATTATTCATTTTTTTCATAGATAAAATATTTATTATTTAAGTAAATATTTTACCAGAGGATTATTCATCTGATATGATGATCTCAGCATGAGCATCATCAACTGGTAACAGTTTGTGGGTGCATTTGTTAATAGTGTGAGATCTGAACGTTCAAGGGGAGAGATAAATACAAAGTAGAGAAAAGATTTAAAATAATAAAAAATAATATTTTAAACTTCAACAAGATTTTATCTAAAAACGGAGGAAACATCAGATTTTTGAAAGGAAGTTGATTTCCTTTCCCAGGCCAACTCAGGATGAGTCGAGTTTTGCACATGTTACTGAAGACCAGATAAAAGGGACATTTTCCCGCCATTTGAGGCAGTCCGTCGAAACAAGGTATTGCCACGCAAGAAATCCGACATACGATAAAGACCGGCCGTTGGAAAGACAACGATACGAAGAAAGATATAGTCATACGAAAGTGTTCGTTGAAGAAGTCGTCATACAAAAAACGTTAAAATAAATGTATAGCATACGACAAGATTGTTGAAAGGAAAGTAGATTCAAAAGAACTTCCCATAGAAAATAGAAGAAGAGAAATACTTAAAGAAGGAAGAAGATCCTCATACAGAACAGATACAAAAGATACGGTGAAGGTAATATAAGCTCTGACAGATCGATGTAAACTCTCTCACGCATCAGATCTAGAAATAAGATAGATTAAGTTAGATTTAGATTAGATTCATTCCTTGTATATTTTATTATTTGATTCATTAAATGTTTTGATTTGTTTTATAAAATGGCTTGGTTCCTATTAGACATTCAATTTCATCCAAGTTTCCTTAGCTCCTCCGAATCCCGAGTTTAAGGATAACGCGTGTTAATCCGCGTGTAAAATAACTGATTAACTGGTGTCGGGAATCCTGACGGAAGGAAAGGGATGATTACGCAATCATCTAATTCCGTTTTAAATTAACATTCAAACTGTAAATGAACTTATTGGTTAAAGCCCTCCACCCTCGATTTCTTTGAATAGAAAAACCGTCCTTGTTAGACAAACAGAGGGCTATTCTAGAGAATAGTTGCCGAGTAAGTGATACTACAGTCTTACCCCTCGATATCCATGGCTTAACCCCTCACAATAGCTGTCGCTTTGCAACAGGAGTGCACTGCTGTTTGTAGGCATTTAGGAATGACGGTGAAAGAAAGATGGCAGCGCCCACACTATCGATAATATCGTGTTAGAGGAATCTATAATTCTAAAATGAGCTTTTAGAAACAAAAGAAGGATCCCAATTGTATAATTTAACCATTAAATGGTTATTGGTTATGGGATTATTTGTTGAAAGATTATTCAAAGTAGTCACGAAAACAATTAGAATGCTCCACGGAGTTACGCAGAGGTATAAAAGAACACACCCTTTATTACATTTTATGTTGTATGAGGGTTTTACCCAATTCCTGAACTGTGTTAGAGTGAACCTGTGCTATAAAAGCACCATGTTATATGGGGGATGTTCCCAATTCTCGAACCGTGTTAGAGTGAACTCGTGCTATAAAAGCACCATGTTATATGGGGGATGTTCCCAATTCTCGAACCGTGTTAGAGTGGATCTGTGTTAGAAAGTAAGTACTGTGTTATACGGGGGTTACCTGTATTTATTTAGTAGTATCTGTGCAATAAGTTTTTAGAATCAGGGCATGCTTTTTCAACAATATTCCTGTATTTAAAATTAATTTTTATTGTTAAACAAGATAAGTAATGTATTAGTAAATTAGCAGAATTCTTTTTTTAAAGCTATGAATCCAAATTTTATTTTGAGTTAATGTAACTAATCAATTAAGAATAGCATGCTAACAGTAAAAAATAGATTTAAGTTTTTCCTTAAATTTGTCTTTAAGTTTAAATTATGATAATACTGAAAGCCTTTCAGTATTCTCATAACTTGAATGATTTTGATGAGTTTCAATGATTGAAGTATCTTCTTTATATATTAAAAAATGTAATCTGGAAACAATATCAGTTAATTAGGAAAGAAGGAGAAAATAATCAAAGTAACAAAGATAGCTTAAGTTTTATTGAAAACAGTCTTACAGACATGAAACATTTATAAGCTTAAAATAAAATTAATCTCTTTGTAGAGTGCATATCGTAACAAGGATATGCACTCTATGAAGAGATTAATTTTATTAAAACCTTAACCTTATAAACTGCAGCCAAATTTGTTATCAATTTCAAATGTTCTTTAATGACCTTTATCAAGAATGAACAGAAATCAAATGCTGACTGATTTGTATTAACGATAAATGCATTTTGGAATGCTCTACGCACTAAAAGTTTTTTTAAAGCATTCCAAAATGCATTTATCGTTAATACAAATCAGTCAGCATTTGATTTTCATTCGCTTTTGATAAAGGTCATTAAAGATGACTGAAAACATTTGAAATTGATAATAAATTTGGCTGCAGTTTATAAAGTTTTTGAGTAGTATATCCTTAAAATAAAATTTTAATTGATTTCAAAAATATTTAATTAAAACAATATCAAGTGTATAAATTTTACTTTGTAATATTTCATTCAAAAATTAAGGTTGTTTTTAATTCAGTTTTTCACTTTTTGTAAATTTACACAGAATTAAGAGCTTATATCCACAGAGCGAAACGTCGTCAGTTTTATCCACCAGAACCATTGGCAATTGGAAAGAAACTCAGTGTTCTTTTGAGTCATGTTGTTAATCCACAGCATTTTTATGTTCAACAGGTATTTAAATAATTATAAATATATTTTTAAACTAAATTTGGGCATAATAAAAGCTATTTAAATTATACATAAGTAAAAAATAAAATAAACAATTTAAAGTCAAATATAGTCAAACCTCAGGTATGAACACTCCTGTTTATGAACAATTCAGTTTATGAACAAATTTTGAATGCCCTAGTTGCCATATGATGACTCAGTTGCCTAACAGGTTACTTGGCAAGATGGTCCATCCATGGACTGCATCCACAGATGGTCAACTCCTTATACTTCTTATGTTGATTGGTTGAGCTGTCAATTTTCTTTAATGACTGGATTACCAATTCAGAAGTTAGCAGCACAGAAATTGCCTCTTGTCATTAGACATTGCAACACAAATCATTGACAACATAGTTATTCAACTTAGATTTCAATGTGCATGTGAGTAAGATACTACAGTAGAGCATCGATTATCCGACCCTCGATTAACCGTCACCTCGGTTAACCAACCGCGTTCTAGTCGGCAAATTCAAATGTCCGCTAGTGATGTGGCACTACAATATTTGGCTATGTCTTGGCTACTTTAATAGTATTTTTACGTGTTTTAGCTGGCAACACTGGCTCGACCATGAAAGGGAGCCAGTATTTAAACGAGGCTTAATTTTCTAATTTTTAACAATGCAATAGTGATAATTATTATTTTAAGAAAAGTTTTATAGGCTTAACATGGAGGAAAATTCAACATGAAGTAGGTTAATAGCGATATACTAATTACATGGGATATAATAATATACTACACTAATAATGGATTTTTTCATACTTTTCGGTTATCCTACTTTTCAATTATCTGACCAACCCCAGTCCCCAATTGAGTCGGATAACACAAGCCTACAAAAAAAAATTTTTTTTTGGTGCCTAGGATTTTAGAACTGATTTTAGCTAAATTTGGGTTGCTGAATCCAAATATGAAATCAGTTTTTCTCTATCAGCTCAACTTTTTTAGATCTGTGTTTTTTTAATGTACAGTGCTACATGAAATGTGCAGCTCTAATTCCAGTTTGTACAGTTCTAAATCACATATGCAAGAATTGATTCCTGTATATTTTCCCCTTTGTTAGTCTGCCGTCCAGTTAATTCCAGGTAAATCCACTAAATGAAGTAAGCATTCGGTAATGAATTGACATTCAATGCTTCAACTAGAGTTGAGGTAAGTTTGTAAGTTCTAGCCATGCAGTGTCTAGATCAGTGTTTCCCAGCCTTTTTGTGCTATGCCCCACCTAAGCCTTTCTAAAATTCTTATGCTTCAGTTAAGTATAGAAAAAATTAAAGCAGGAATATTTGACAGCCCACAAATAAGACAACTCGTTAACGATCTTGCCCTTGTAAATTCGATGAATGAAACTGAGTGGAAAGCCTGGACTACATTTGTTGCATTTGTCAGAAATTTTCTAGGCAAATGCAAAGCTGAAAATTATGTTGAACTGGTAAACGAGATGCTTAACAGTTTCAAATCCCTTGGGTGTTGTAAAGTAGTGACCTTTTAGCAGAGTGGGGACAAAAGAGGCGCGACCTTGTCAATTGGACCCACGTGCGGTTGGGTAATACCACTTGTAAAGTATTGACTTGTAAACAAGGGTAAACAAAGGAAGCGCCGGCTTTGTTAATTGGACCCACTTGCAGTCAGACGGTAATGGTAAGCAAACGAACGTAAACAAGTGGCGGACGTTTGTGTAAGCTTCACTCTCGTCGGATGACGGTGGACCTGAGTGTAAGCTGTTTGGGCATAAAAAAGGGTTGTGATTGGTCGGAAGTTCCCGTTCCAAAATCCCTTAAATTGCGGGNTTAAAAATTAGAGCTCCTAGGCAAAAACTAATGTCATATTTGAATTCAGGACATCAAATTCATATGAAATCAACTCAAAATATCTGGGCACCAAAACCACTGTTGACCTGTGTAATCGATGCTCTACTGTACTTCTGTTTTTCGGTATGCATTGCAATTGAATTTAGATCAAATTAAATAAAAATTGCTTTAATTGACAATCATGTAATATAAATGACATCCACAAATTTGTGTTTAAAGGTGCTTATTTCAAATTAAATTACAAAAAATTTATTAATATATTATTATAAATTATAATAATAATAATTAGTATTTAGTAATACTAGGTAGCCAGTTAATTAAAACTAAAAATAAAATCAAAATTAATTAATTTAAAATTAAAATTGAAATCAAATCAATTGAAACATAATATTTCTGAAAGTGTGGGTAAAGTATTTGTCTGTCTTCATTGATTTGGTTACAGTTTATCCAAGTGGAATTTTGTCTCTATAGCACATTTTTGTAAAGTTTCTGTTGACGGTGACAGAACATTTTGCTTTTAATATACAGTATATATAAAGTAGCAATAGATAGAGATGATATAATATTATATTGCATTGCATGTCTAGGCTTTTTCATGCATGAAATACAGCTAAAAAATAAAAAATAGCACTTTGTTTTGGGTGTCAGGAACAGATTAACCCATTTTATGTTGTTTCCTATGGGAAAATTTGTTTTGGTTTGAGAACAAGTTTTAGGAATAAATTAAGTTTGTTAATTGAGGTTTGACTATATTTTATAATCCAGTAATTACTAAAGATTATAGCATTTCCTTAAATGCTTCATAGTTTTTACATTTAAAATTCTTGTAAACTAGAATCTGAAGATAGCTTAAAATGTCTTCTTATAAATTTCTTCTAGATTATAAAAATTTTTGTTTCAATCTGTAAAATATAGTAAATACTTTCAAATTTGAATGTATATGTTACTTTAGTTTGGATATATTACAACCTGATGTTGGGGTAATGACATTCCTTGGTTCCTTGCATTGTTTTTGGTTTGATTTCTATCTAATACATAGAAGATTTGATGATGAGACAAGGAAGTACTGAAAAATGTTTTATTCATTAATAAATGCTGATTTATATACTTTATATAGCATTTCTTTAATTTTGTTGAATTCTCTATACAGTCTGTAGACTTAAACTCGTGTGACCATATTGTCACAAGTTATTACATGTTATCAAGACAACAATTTGTTAAGCTAACAAAAGTGGTATGTAATAAAAAAATCAACTATTTTTATTATTACTATTGAAAATATAGCAGACTAAAATTTTGATTGTAAATCAGTTCATAGCTTTGAGAATGCAAAAATATTCCTCATTTTTTTGGACAATTAAAAAGTTGTTATGAGCACCAATAAAAGTTTAGAGTTATGTTGAAAAACTTTGGTACATATTATGTCCATATTTACTATCTCAAGTTTGTTATTATTTAACACGTTGATTGCCAATAATTACTGTATTTTCCCAGAATGACCAGTATGCCGCATAAAAATGGGGGAGACTGGAATACTGGTTAAACTATGACTAAAATATAAAATTAATCAGATCTAACAAAACTAGTTGTTAAGTAAATGTTAAAGAAAACATTCTTCAAGTACAGTAAAATAACAACATTGTAATTTGATAAACTTAAAATCAGGAAGAGAGTTATCATATACTAGACAATAAAACAATTAACAAGCTATTGACATTAGTAGTAGTAGTAATTAGTCAGTTGGGATACACTGACCATCTATGAATCTGAAAATAAACACCTTCCTCTCAAATTTCACATGAAGCAGATGTTAATCAGTGTAAGAGGAGATAATTTACTGAGTTTAAATTTAATATGTTTATTTTTGTGTTTTTGAATCAAATAATAAAATATACATAAAAAAAGAAACTTTTGGAATTCCAAGAGTATTTTAAGTGGTTAGAAAGAAGACAGAATGAAGAAATTAAACATATATTTGTAGTTTTTGAAATAATACCGACAGTTTCAATTTTAGAATAAAAACTTCTTGGTTTTTTAATGCACCTTTAGAGAGTGATCTAACCTCATTTAAACCGGCATGTCAGCTTTTCTCATACAGAAATATCTGATTTCATGGTCTCCCTGGATAGACTGGCATGATGATCATTTTGCGAAAATACAGTATTATTGTACATATAATAACATCGTAAAGCCCGAGTAGTATACAATAAATCACCAAACGTTCACCTAAATATCGGGCTATAATATGGTTAATTAAATGATTGGTATAATGTAATTTGTCATTAGAGGCCTACTTAAGAGATGGCGCCTAACGTCTACCTCTAATGACAAATTACTTTATACCAATCATTTAATTAGCCATATTATAGCCCGATATTTAGGCGAACATTTGGTGATTTACGGTATTATTGGTGATACATTTTGAAAAAAGAAATTCAAACTGGAAAATAAAATAAAAATATCACACAAACAATGTTTTCACTTTCCAGCATGTTGTTTAATGTTTGACAAACATTTTCAAAGTGCTTTACAGCTCAACTTCAGATCTACATGTAGATAAACATTGTTTTTGCTCTATTTATGGAACATTTACAATGATTTTTAAATTTTGGAGTTTACATCTAAAATAATTAGTTATTATATATAAAGAAAAAAATGCATTATTTATTTTTTATTTAGGCTTACAAGATACAATCATATATATCGAAGTCTTTTTTTACTTTCCCAGCTGTTACATACAACAGAGAGAAAGTATGGTAATCAGTCAAAAAATAACCCCCTCAAGATTTTTACATATGTGGATTTAGGACACCTTGAAATGTTGAGAAATGCAAAAAAAAAAGGGGTAATTTCTGTATGTATGGATGTTAGTGTGGGTTTGGAGATAGATTTTGTTCATCCTGTTTGAAGCTTAATAACTCCTGTGCTTTTTGTCAAAATTTTCTGAAATTTTGTAGGGAGGTTTGTTTATTACAGAGGGGTGTGAGATAAAAGGAGTCTTGTATATCCCCATTAGGGTTGGACTTAATGATGATTTTACTCATTATTAGCATTTACAATTTTTTATGAAACCCATTCCTACCCTCAAAATTAAAATTTTGCAATTTTAAAATAGTTAAAAATATAGTTTTTTAATAAAATATGATAACCACCAGAATTTTAAATGTTGCTGGTTTTTATGATGGTAATTTGTTTAGAGCTGTTGTCTTAACTACCTTTACCATCTGACTGTAAAATGTAGATGCTAGAAAATGTTTTGTAACTATTTAAACAAGAAATTATAGTTAATATTTAAAATTAAGATTTTTATGTATTTGAAATTGCTTTTTTTTCTATAGCATTAATTTTCTGTAAGACAATATACTGATTGTAAAAGTTTAAACATGTAAAACTTATCTATAAATAGGAAAAAACATTTGACATTGTATACAAATTATATATAGAGATATTCGCTCCATCAGAATAATTTCTATGTGCTTCTCTTCTTGTATCCATCAAAATACATTCAAAATTAATGGAGTAGTTCATAATAAATTATATATATTTTTACAAAGTGAATGTTATAACATTTCCCATTAATAAAATGCCAAAAATATATATTTAAATATTCCAATAAACATATAATTAATTAAACATATAAACATAGAATTAATTATAAATTTTATAGGAAATATTGTGGATACTTAAATGCACAGTACCAAACTAGAAATTTTTCTTATAAAGCTTATATCGAGACATATTTCTTCAATATCTTGAAATATCATGTTCTTTCTGCAGTAAAAAGAGAAAACATACATTTCAAAATAGCATATTAAAATAGCATAATATTTCCTGAAATGTAAATCAAAATTTATATGAGTCAATTTTTCAATTATATTATATTCAATTAAATGTATAATATTTGATTACAATATAAATATTACACTTTTAAAAATTTTATCATATATTTATTTCAGATGGGAGGAAATGCTCGATACTTGAGTAATCTTATTTTTGAAATGCAGTCAAGTTATAACAGTTCTGGCAGTGATCATTTAATAGTTGCACCTGAAATTGGTAAGTTAAGAAGTGTTTTTAGAAAATATTTATTAGCTGTAATAGTAGTTGTTTAAAAAAATAACATTAACTATAAAAAGTAAGAAATATGTTGCATTTGTTAACTTACATGTAATATAAGGCTTTGATGGATATTCAATAAATATTTTCAATAATTATTGTAATCTATATTCACTGTAATAAGTTTCCATTATAAAATAACCATGAATTTTTTATTGTAATAGTTTTAATTGATGTTTGTCTTTTTTTTATAGTCTAGTCTTGATTCAGACTTTTAATTTATAGGAATTTGTGTCAATGTCTTACAAATAGATATATATGATTTGAATTATAAAAAACTTGTTAATGTGTCCAAGACATTAATATTGAGGGTTTTTGATAAATTTTGTAGAAACATTCTACTTTTTTCAATGAAACTACAGTAGAACCTCGAAAACTCGGCTCTCGATAACCCGGCACTCCGGATAACTCGGGCACATCCTGGCAGAGCAAAAAAATCCTTAGTTAATTAATTTTCATTATAGACAGCTTTATAAAAGTATAAAAGCTCTCATAAAGTATTTTTCTGAGGTCTGTCTTATCAGGTAAATTACTGTACACAGTGTATTCGTTAATTTTCATTTTCATGTAGTAAAGGCTCTATGCCTTCATAAAGGACGTACTTTTCCTTTGTTTAAGGGTATTCGGGCAGTTTATTCTCTGTTATATTCTCAAGTAAACAATACATACAAGTACAGTACAGTATTTTCTGAGGAAACACTCGCACTTATTTTTTTTAACCCTATTTCCGATAACCCGGCATTTTCACAAACTCAGCCACCCTTCGGTCCACATTAGGCCGAGTTTCCGAGGTTCTACTGTATCTCATTCTTTGGCTCTGATCTCTGCATTGCTAGTTTCATCTCATGATGGGAATGACAAATGGAAAAATTAACTCTGAAAAAGCATAAAAATGAAAAACACAAAGGAAGATATGTTTTATTTTTTTCACAAAAAAGATCAAGGTGATATTTTTTCTTTTTTTAATAGAAAGTTTGTATGATAAAATGGGAAGAGTATGACAGATTGCAGTAATTATTTTGATATTGGATAATTTGAAGTATTGTGTAATTTGAAGTCAAGTCTAGTCCTGGCCTAAAGAATAGGATTTTGCATATATTTTAGTTTAGTTAATTCAAAATATGCATATAATGAAATTTGAAGTCATTATCTTGTCCAGTGACCCACAAAAATATCCTTTAATTCGAAATCTTCCATCATATTATATGTTTATAAGAAAGTTTCCATGCTCAACTGGCAGTTTGGTTTTACCAATTTTACGTTGCTAATTTATTGGATGACCCTTCAAGGTAATTCGGACAGTGTACACATGAAGAGAAAAAGAGAGAGTTTTATTTTTTATTTTTATGGTTGAAATCTGTCTAGCATTTAATTATTTTGGACATTTTTTGCAAAAACCTATTGTTTTAATAATTCCAAACTTGATTAAATACATGTGCATATTCTCGATAGAATGCATACTTACAGCTTTAGCCATTAATAAAGCTTTTTTCATCAGATCACATGATTTTCATAATCTTGAACTCTTGAAAATCTTGAATGAAATTGTGGTAATTCTTATCAAAGCTTCTTTGCTATGTTATTTTCAGATCTTGTTTTGATTGTAATTTCATTAAGTATATGCCAACTGGCTGTTTTCTTAAAATAGCTTAAATTACTAAGTAAGAACTTGTAATATTAACACATTTGTAAGCAAACAAGTGACATTGTATAAGGTAATGTCATAATTTTATTTAAGAATTACAAAAATCTTTGATTTGAAAAAAGCTCGAATAATTTGAAGTCGTATTTTTTTGGTCCCTTAAGTTTCAAAATAACTAAGTTTTACCGTAGTCAAGTTTGATTCCACTGCATATAAACTCAAACTTTTTTGCATGTTAATCACCTTTCTGTGATTTATGTTACAGGCATATACATATATTATGTTTTTATTTTCTTAGTTTAAATATGAATAAATTGTCAAATAAAAATAGTTTACCTTTAATAAAGCATTTTATGTTTTGATGTGATTAAAGGAGTGAAAAGTTATATTATTAATATATACATACGTATAAGAAAGACATTGGCCATACATGAGGTGTTTAGCTGGCAGAAAAGAGGGTGAGGGAAGAAGGAGGGAGAGGAGATAGACAGTAGAGAAAGGTAGGATCCCTCTGAATGGCATATATATGCCTACAGTACCCTCTATGTTTGATGTTGGCATACAGTTTTTAGGCTGCGAGGCCATAGTCCCCGAAGAGTCTAAAAGAAAACCTGAGTGTAGTGTACACCAATAATTGAGTGCTGCCATGAATATCTAAGTGTAGAAGTTAGTGCCAAGTGGTTGTTAGTAGGAAGACTTATATCTACTTAATACTAATAAAACTGAATGCAATCGCAAACCTTAATACTACTTAACAGCTAGACAGACAGCACGAAAAGAAAACAAACACAATGACAAATTAGATGAGACAAATGGATCTACATAGACAAACAAGCAGGACCCCCAATTTTTTTTATTTGTATTATTATTATTATTATTTTTTTTTTAGCATTAACTTATTCACTAACTAAACTAACCTATCATACCATAACCTAGGACAAACCTAACCAGACGTGTATATATACATATAATCAATACTAAATAAACTTCCAACTTCAATTTTATGCCTTTCTAATGTGCTTATATAGTTTTAAAAGTATGTTTAAAAGCAGTTTTAAAACATTAGTTCAATTTTAAATGTATTTTAATATAATTATCTTAATATTACTCTATTTATTATAGTTATTTTGTTATTTAATTATATTTATTCATAACTTTAAATTTCTTTTATTAGGTATGATATGTGTTGCTCAGTACAGTTTGGACAAACAGTGGTATCGTGCTCAGATTATAAGTTTACCGGGAAGTGCCAAAGTTGAAGTATTTTATGTTGATTTTGGTAATACTGAAATTTTACCATATAAAAAATTACGCAAAATTGCTGACGACTATATAAAACTACCATGTCAAGCCGTAAAATGTGCGCTTGTTGATATTGCACCTGTGGATGGTAATGAATGGTCTAATAAGGTAAGTTTTCATAAATATATTTTTTAATAATTAGAAACAATAATATAATTCAGGCTTTGCTGTTGATAATTAGAAGTAACTATATGTTAGACTAATTAGTTTAAATTGTCATCTTTTTGGTATGGAAACATTTTAAATGTTCAAAAGAATAGCATAAAGTTGTTTGGAATGCAAGTTTTTTTTTAATTTGAAAAAGAATTTCTAAAAGTAAGGCACAGAATTTCTAAATTAGAATATGCAAGAGTATTTTTGTAATAATTAATCCTTTGATTATGTTATAATTCTGAAAAATGAATGTAACATTAATTTATTTGGTATCTTTTGAGAATTAAATGAAAAATTTTAGAAATGAAAAGATTTTCAGAATTTTCTATAATAGTTTTCCAAGAAGAAATATCTTTTACACAATATCCATAAAATCTGATTCTAGCTTCAATAGATTTATGATTTAATTCTCAGTTTGACAAGAAAGTTGTTTAATGGTAAGTCATACTGGGAAGGCAGTTACCTCTTTATTAATATTTCCAGAAAATATAAAATGTAGACTGCAAGTTTGGAAATAAATTTTTTATTAAATTTTTTGATAAAGCAAGATACAGTACTATTAATAATGTTTTCCTTAACACAGTTTTGGTTTCATGATTCTTTAACTGAACAAAACTGAAAATTATTTAACATTTTTCAAAATATAATAGACAATCTTTAAAAAATTATGATGATAAAAATGCATCTTTTGGTTTTGTGATTCTTCAATTGTGAAATATTTTAAAACTCCAACCATTAGAGGCCACTTTGTATAGTGAATCTGGTGAAGAATGAGTATTAAAAGATTTTATGTATTTTGGATTATTATTTTTATTATAGATAGATAATAGGAAGACATCTTTGGATATTGTGTGCAAATTGTTTATTATTACATGGACATTTTCAATTAGTGAAATAGCCTCCAAAAAATGTTGAAACTATTAAGTATTAACTGTTTTTGTTTGTAATGATATTATTTTTTAAAGGATTTTTTTATTGTATTTTCTCAAATTTAAAACATTTTCTGTAATAAAATTGAAATTTTGCCACAAATGAGGAATTGCTATTCTCAAGATCAAAAATATTTTAAATCTTTATTGTCAATAAGAAGTTGACAAATTTCTTTTATCATATCAGAAAGTATTTGACTGAAGATAAATATAATCTCTCCTAGAAAATTTTGTTTGTATTATTTCTATCCATTTATCACATATGAGCATTTATTTTATTTCTGTTTAATTAAAAAATATGAAAAATTTTAATTTGCATTTCTGTAGCAGTGTAGAAGCAATGTATACAGATCTTTCAGTTTTCAATGAATAGAACTAAAATTTAAAAAAATGTCAGATTACAGTTGATTCCATTATCCTAAAGAATTATTTCTGAATGTTTATCTACTAAAATCTAAATTGTCCTCAAAGTTAATGAGACATATAAAACATCAAGTGAAAGTCTAATGTGGCTTAAAACATATCTTAAAACATAAAAATCTATATTGTGAAATATTATAAATTGATGATAAACACTCATTGACAAAAGTCACATACCTAGATAGAATTGTTTGATTACTCAGAATACAGCTGTTTTGGGTAGATATATAAATGATTGCAGTTGTAGTCCAATTGCATGCCAGGAATCACAAAACCAAAAGATTCACGTTAGCATTAAATTGTTTTAAAATTGTTTTATTCCAGTATAGATATTGGGATTCCAGTGACAGTATGAAGTCAACTGAACACAGTGAACTGTGAGTGTTTTGGCTCACAGAAGCTCACTGTGTTCAGAATTTTTAGTCTACCCGTTGTTTGAAGATCTTTAAACACCAGGCATGCCTGTATGAATGGCACAGTCAGACATTAGAACAAGATTGATGGAGTTTGACAAAGGCTATACATTGGCTTATGAATGCAGGATGGTGGTTTTTGTTTTATTTTTTTAATTGTCCACCATCTGGGTTGTTCTGACTAGACTGTGAGAAGTGCTGTGATAGTGGACATATCAGGGCAGACATACATATCTGATATCAGGCTCTGGACACCCCAGACAGATAACCAGGAGGGATGATTATCTGATTTTGAGAGAAGTGCAAACAGCTGTAACAGTGTCTTTGTCTAATATTGCAGACAGGTGAGACTTGCTATAGAACTGTCTCTTTCTGTAACATTGGCAGATGACTAAGATAAATTTCCCTGCATGACAACCACTATAATAGCACCCCACCATCATCACAGAAGTAGAGACTGCTGTTGGTTGGTAGTGTATTGTCTGCAGTGAAAAAGTGCAGCTATGTTTGGGAACAAACAGTTATCATGTTATAATGTGGAAGACAACTGAAACTTTAGTTTTGCCTTTACTATTGAACAGCACACTGTCCTCACCATTAGCATGATGGAAAGCCATTTTCAAAGGAAGCAGTTTATTGAAAATTGAGACTATACACCCAAATAAGGGGTAATCTTACAGGATACTAAAGGTTTTTCTAAGTTATACTGTTGTTCCACAGAAAATTGTCCCTTTGCTATGATACTGTAATCACTTATTACTATCATCATTTCATTTGATTAATAAAGGTTTCATATGATTCCAATACCATCTTTTTGCTGAAAATTTTTTATTGACATCTCATTTGATCAAAATCATATTTATAAACAAGTTTATAACCTAATGCTAAAAAAGTTTTTTCTAAAAACATTTTCAGGCTACTACTTGGTTTACTGAAGCAGCTGGAAAGAAAACTCTTTCTGTCACATTTAATAATAAGATTTAATTTATTTTTTTCCATAGCATGCCATTATACTCGAAGAGCGAAACAGCGCGCGTAATTGCCACGTCGCGTCGCGCGCTGATTCCCTATAATTCTAATGAACTATTTTTACATTCAATACTCTTAATGGAAATAAAAAAAAAGGAACTAAATTATTATCAGTAAGATATCTGAAAATATAGAAAACTTCCCACAGAAAAGAACGAAGAAAAAAAAAAAAGTGATCTTTTTCTACAGATTGTGGGTCTGTACCACTTGGTATTCCCACACTAAGACTGTTGCAAGGTCTCTCATTGAAACACAAATAAATATAATTATCTTCAATATAAAATATATAATCCGAATGCAAACGCAATGCGATTAAACACGATGTCTTGTATGTGAGAGAGACACCTGTAATCAATGACATAGTCTATGAAAATATTCCTAAAATATATTAAGATATAATGTGTTATTTTTAAAACAGGATATTGTAAATAATGCTAAAATATATATATATATTTTAAATATTATTTAAAAATTCTTAACCACAATATTCTTCACTGAATTTGATTCATTAGCATAGCTTCAACTGTAATTNTGTCTCAGGCACTTGGGAAGCCCGCTGAGCGTAAAGAGAGAGTGTTCTCCTCTGTTGATCTTCCTAGAGACGGGTTAGTGCTGAGACCGGACCGACCGTGCAGTTGAGCCGACTCCACAATCTGATTGAGGTCTCTCCAAAGATTATTAGTTCCCAGATGCCAACCTGGCACGTGAATTCACCACGCATGGTCATCTTGTACATATACTATGTTTTCTAACTTGTACTTTCTACTACTGTAAATAAACTGTAAATATATTCAATTTGAGTGTGGCGGTGTGCTTTCCAACGAACCTGATTCATTACATTGAGTCGTGAAACACAAGAAAACGACCCAGCGAGACGGAGTTGGGAAGGAACGGCAATAAGATCTTCACTGGTGTAATATGAGTATTAAGGTGCACTATTTACGCAGTCACTTAGATCGTTTCCCTGAAAATTTAGGAGAAACCAGTGAAGAACAAGGTGAAAGATTTCACCAGGATATTAAAACTATGGAGGACTGCTACCAAGGAAGATGGGATACGCATATGATGGCAGATTACTGCTGGAGTTTAAAAAGGGATTGCTCCAAAATACATTCATGAAAGTCAAAGAAAAGAAGCTTCCTCAATGTGTAACTGTTTAGTTTTATTGATGACTTTTTCCTCTATCTTTGTATAGAATAATATTTGCATAATATTATAATAAAAGTTCCGTGTTTAGTTTTTTTACTTGATCCTTGGATGTAACTTAAGATATTGAAACGTATATTTCGCTAAAATGCTATATTTTAAAAATTAGAGCTCCTAGGCAAAAACTAATGTCATATTTGAATTCAGGACATCAAATTCATATGAAATCAACTCAAAATATCTGGGCACCAAAACCACTGTTGACCTGTGTAATCGATGCTCTACTGTACTTCTGTTTTTCGGTATGCATTGCAATTGAATTTAGATCAAATTAAATAAAAATTGCTTTAATTGACAATCATGTAATATAAATGACATCCACAAATTTGTGTTTAAAGGTGCTTATTTCAAATTAAATTACAAAAAATTTATTAATATATTATTATAAATTATAATAATAATAATTAGTATTTAGTAATACTAGGTAGCCAGTTAATTAAAACTAAAAATAAAATCAAAATTAATTAATTTAAAATTAAAATTGAAATCAAATCAATTGAAACATAATATTTCTGAAAGTGTGGGTAAAGTATTTGTCTGTCTTCATTGATTTGGTTACAGTTTATCCAAGTGGAATTTTGTCTCTATAGCACATTTTTGTAAAGTTTCTGTTGACGGTGACAGAACATTTTGCTTTTAATATACAGTATATATAAAGTAGCAATAGATAGAGATGATATAATATTATATTGCATTGCATGTCTAGGCTTTTTCATGCATGAAATACAGCTAAAAAATAAAAAATAGCACTTTGTTTTGGGTGTCAGGAACAGATTAACCCATTTTATGTTGTTTCCTATGGGAAAATTTGTTTTGGTTTGAGAACAAGTTTTAGGAATAAATTAAGTTTGTTAATTGAGGTTTGACTATATTTTATAATCCAGTAATTACTAAAGATTATAGCATTTCCTTAAATGCTTCATAGTTTTTACATTTAAAATTCTTGTAAACTAGAATCTGAAGATAGCTTAAAATGTCTTCTTATAAATTTCTTCTAGATTATAAAAATTTTTGTTTCAATCTGTAAAATATAGTAAATACTTTCAAATTTGAATGTATATGTTACTTTAGTTTGGATATATTACAACCTGATGTTGGGGTAATGACATTCCTTGGTTCCTTGCATTGTTTTTGGTTTGATTTCTATCTAATACATAGAAGATTTGATGATGAGACAAGGAAGTACTGAAAAATGTTTTATTCATTAATAAATGCTGATTTATATACTTTATATAGCATTTCTTTAATTTTGTTGAATTCTCTATACAATCTGTAGACTTAAACTCGTGTGACCATATTGTCACAAGTTATTACATGTTATCAAGACAACAATTTGTTAAGCTAACAAAAGTGGTATGTAATAAAAAAATCAACTATTTTTATTATTACTATTGAAAATATAGCAGACTAAAATTTTGATTGTAAATCAGTTCATAGCTTTGAGAATGCAAAAATATTCCTCATTTTTTTGGACAATTAAAAAGTTGTTATGAGCACCAATAAAAGTTTAGAGTTATGTTGAAAAACTTTGGTACATATTATGTCCATATTTACTATCTCAAGTTTGTTATTATTTAACACGTTGATTGCCAATAATTACTGTATTTTCCCAGAATGACCAGTATGCCGCATAAAAATGGGGGAGACTGGAATACTGGTTAAACTATGACTAAAATATAAAATTAATCAGATCTAACAAAACTAGTTGTTAAGTAAATGTTAAAGAAAACATTCTTCAAGTACAGTAAAATAACAACATTGTAATTTGATAAACTTAAAATCAGGAAGAGAGTTATCATATACTAGACAATAAAACAATTAACAAGCTATTGACATTAGTAGTAGTAGTAATTAGTCAGTTGGGATACACTGACCATCTATGAATCTGAAAATAAACACCTTCCTCTCAAATTTCACATGAAGCAGATGTTAATCAGTGTAAGAGGAGATAATTTACTGAGTTTAAATTTAATATGTTTATTTTTGTGTTTTTGAATCAAATAATAAAATATACATAAAAAAAGAAACTTTTGGAATTCCAAGAGTATTTTAAGTGGTTAGAAAGAAGACAGAATGAAGAAATTAAACATATATTTGTAGTTTTTGAAATAATACCGACAGTTTCAATTTTAGAATAAAAACTTCTTGGTTTTTTAATGCACCTTTAGAGAGTGATCTAACCTCATTTAAACCGGCATGTCAGCTTTTCTCATACAGAAATATCTGATTTCATGGTCTCCCTGGATAGACTGGCATGATGATCATTTTGCGAAAATACAGTATTATTGTACATATAATAACATCGTAAAGCCCGAGTAGTATACAATAAATCACCAAACGTTCACCTAAATATCGGGCTATAATATGGTTAATTAAATGATTGGTATAATGTAATTTGTCATTAGAGGCCTACTTAAGAGATGGCGCCTAACGTCTACCTCTAATGACAAATTACTTTATACCAATCATTTAATTAGCCATATTATAGCCCGATATTTAGGCGAACATTTGGTGATTTACGGTATTATTGGTGATACATTTTGAAAAAAGAAATTCAAACTGGAAAATAAAATAAAAATATCACACAAACAATGTTTTCACTTTCCAGCATGTTGTTTAATGTTTGACAAACATTTTCAAAGTGCTTTACAGCTCAACTTCAGATCTACATGTAGATAAACATTGTTTTTGCTCTATTTATGGAACATTTACAATGATTTTTAAATTTTGGAGTTTACATCTAAAATAATTAGTTATTATATATAAAGAAAAAAATGCATTATTTATTTTTTATTTAGGCTTACAAGATACAATCATATATATCGAAGTCTTTTTTTACTTTCCCAGCTGTTACATACAACAGAGAGAAAGTATGGTAATCAGTCAAAAAATAACCCCCTCAAGATTTTTACATATGTGGATTTAGGACACCTTGAAATGTTGAGAAATGCAAAAAAAAAGGGGGGTAATTTCTGTATGTATGGATGTTAGTGTGGGTTTGGAGATAGATTTTGTTCATCCTGTTTGAAGCTTAATAACTCCTGTGCTTTTTGTCAAAATTTTCTGAAATTTTGTAGGGAGGTTTGTTTATTACAGAGGGGTGTGAGATAAAAGGAGTCTTGTATATCCCCATTAGGGTTGGACTTAATGATGATTTTACTCATTATTAGCATTTACAATTTTTTATGAAACCCATTCCTACCCTCAAAATTAAAATTTTGCAATTTTAAAATAGTTAAAAATATAGTTTTTTAATAAAATATGATAACCACCAGAATTTTAAATGTTGCTGGTTTTTATGATGGTAATTTGTTTAGAGCTGTTGTCTTAACTACCTTTACCATCTGACTGTAAAATGTAGATGCTAGAAAATGTTTTGTAACTATTTAAACAAGAAATTATAGTTAATATTTAAAATTAAGATTTTTATGTATTTGAAATTGCTTTTTTTTCTATAGCATTAATTTTCTGTAAGACAATATACTGATTGTAAAAGTTTAAACATGTAAAACTTATCTATAAATAGGAAAAAACATTTGACATTGTATACAAATTATATATAGAGATATTCGCTCCATCAGAATAATTTCTATGTGCTTCTCTTCTTGTATCCATCAAAATACATTCAAAATTAATGGAGTAGTTCATAATAAATTATATATATTTTTACAAAGTGAATGTTATAACATTTCCCATTAATAAAATGCCAAAAATATATATTTAAATATTCCAATAAACATATAATTAATTAAACATATAAACATAGAATTAATTATAAATTTTATAGGAAATATTGTGGATACTTAAATGCACAGTACCAAACTAGAAATTTTTCTTATAAAGCTTATATCGAGACATATTTCTTCAATATCTTGAAATATCATGTTCTTTCTGCAGTAAAAAGAGAAAACATACATTTCAAAATAGCATATTAAAATAGCATAATATTTCCTGAAATGTAAATCAAAATTTATATGAGTCAATTTTTCAATTATATTATATTCAATTAAATGTATAATATTTGATTACAATATAAATATTACACTTTTAAAAATTTTATCATATATTTATTTCAGATGGGAGGAAATGCTCGATACTTGAGTAATCTTATTTTTGAAATGCAGTCAAGTTATAACAGTTCTGGCAGTGATCATTTAATAGTTGCACCTGAAATTGGTAAGTTAAGAAGTGTTTTTAGAAAATATTTATTAGCTGTAATAGTAGTTGTTTAAAAAAATAACATTAACTATAAAAAGTAAGAAATATGTTGCATTTGTTAACTTACATGTAATATAAGGCTTTGATGGATATTCAATAAATATTTTCAATAATTATTGTAATCTATATTCACTGTAATAAGTTTCCATTATAAAATAACCATGAATTTTTTATTGTAATAGTTTTAATTGATGTTTGTCTTTTTTTTATAGTCTAGTCTTGATTCAGACTTTTAATTTATAGGAATTTGTGTCAATGTCTTACAAATAGATATATATGATTTGAATTATAAAAAACTTGTTAATGTGTCCAAGACATTAATATTGAGGGTTTTTGATAAATTTTGTAGAAACATTCTACTTTTTTCAATGAAACTACAGTAGAACCTCGAAAACTCGGCTCTCGATAACCCGGCACTCCGGATAACTCGGGCACATCCTGGCAGAGCAAAAAAATCCTTAGTTAATTAATTTTCATTATAGACAGCTTTATAAAAGTATAAAAGCTCTCATAAAGTATTTTTCTGAGGTCTGTCTTATCAGGTAAATTACTGTACACAGTGTATTCGTTAATTTTCATTTTCATGTAGTAAAGGCTCTATGCCTTCATAAAGGACGTACTTTTCCTTTGTTTAAGGGTATTCGGGCAGTTTATTCTCTGTTATATTCTCAAGTAAACAATACATACAAGTACAGTACAGTATTTTCTGAGGAAACACTCGCACTGATTTTTTTAAACCCTATTTCCGATAACCCGGCATTTTCACAAACTCAGCCACCCTTCGGTCCACATTAGGCCGAGTTTCCGAGGTTCTACTGTATCTCATTCTTTGGCTCTGATCTCTGCATTGCTAGTTTCATCTCATGATGGGAATGACAAATGGAAAAATTAACTCTGAAAAAGCATAAAAATGAAAAACACAAAGGAAGATATGTTTTATTTTTTTCACAAAAAAGATCAAGGTGATATTTTTTCTTTTTTTAATAGAAAGTTTGTATGATAAAATGGGAAGAGTATGACAGATTGCAGTAATTATTTTGATATTGGATAATTTGAAGTATTGTGTAATTTGAAGTCAAGTCTAGTCCTGGCCTAAAGAATAGGATTTTGCATATATTTTAGTTTAGTTAATTCAAAATATGCATATAATGAAATTTGAAGTCATTATCTTGTCCAGTGACCCACAAAAATATCCTTTAATTCGAAATCTTCCATCATATTATATGTTTATAAGAAAGTTTCCATGCTCAACTGGCAGTTTGGTTTTACCAATTTTACGTTGCTAATTTATTGGATGACCCTTCAAGGTAATTCGGACAGTGTACACATGAAGAGAAAAAGAGAGAGTTTTATTTTTTATTTTTATGGTTGAAATCTGTCTAGCATTTAATTATTTTGGACATTTTTTGCAAAAACCTATTGTTTTAATAATTCCAAACTTGATTAAATACATGTGCATATTCTCGATAGAATGCATACTTACAGCTTTAGCCATTAATAAAGCTTTTTTCATCAGATCACATGATTTTCATAATCTTGAACTCTTGAAAATCTTGAATGAAATTTGTGGTAATTCTTATCAAAGCTTCTTTGCTATGTTATTTTCAGATCTTGTTTTGATTGTAATTTCATTAAGTATATGCCAACTGGCTGTTTTCTTAAAATAGCTTAAATTACTAAGTAAGAACTTGTAATATTAACACATTTGTAAGCAAACAAGTGACATTGTATAAGGTAATGTCATAATTTTATTTAAGAATTACAAAAATCTTTGATTTGAAAAAAGCTCGAATAATTTGAAGTCGTATTTTTTTGGTCCCTTAAGTTTCAAAATAACTAAGTTTTACCGTAGTCAAGTTTGATTCCACTGCATATAAACTCAAACTTTTTTGCATGTTAATCACCTTTCTGTGATTTATGTTACAGGCATATACATATATTATGTTTTTATTTTCTTAGTTTAAATATGAATAAATTGTCAAATAAAAATAGTTTACCTTTAATAAAGCATTTTATGTTTTGATGTGATTAAAGGAGTGAAAAGTTATATTATTAATATATACATACGTATAAGAAAGACATTGGCCATACATGAGGTGTTTAGCTGGCAGAAAAGAGGGTGAGGGAAGAAGGAGGGAGAGGAGATAGACAGTAGAGAAAGGTAGGATCCCTCTGAATGGCATATATATGCCTACAGCACCCTCTATGTTTGATGTTGGCATACAGTTTTTAGGCTGCGAGGCCATAGTCCCCGAAGAGTCTAAAAAAAAACCTGAGTGTAGTGTACACCAATAATTGAGTGCTGCCATGAATATCTAAGTGTAGAAGTTAGTGCCAAGTGGTTGTTAGTAGGAAGACTTATATCTACTTAATACTAATAAAACTGAATGCAATCGCAAACCTTAATACTACTTAACAGCTAGACAGACAGCACGAAAAGAAAACAAACACAATGACAAATTAGATGAGACAAATGGATCTACATAGACAAACAAGCAGGACCCCCAATTTTTTTTATTTGTATTATTATTATTATTATTTTTTTTTTAGCATTAACTTATTCACTAACTAAACTAACCTATCATACCATAACCTAGGACAAACCTAACCAGACGTGTATATATACATATAATCAATACTAAATAAACTTCCAACTTCAATTTTATGCCTTTCTAATGTGCTTATATAGTTTTAAAAGTATGTTTAAAAGCAGTTTTAAAACATTAGTTCAATTTTAAATGTATTTTAATATAATTATCTTAATATTACTCTATTTATTATAGTTATTTTGTTATTTAATTATATTTATTCATAACTTTAAATTTCTTTTATTAGGTATGATATGTGTTGCTCAGTACAGTTTGGACAAACAGTGGTATCGTGCTCAGATTATAAGTTTACCGGGAAGTGCCAAAGTTGAAGTATTTTATGTTGATTTTGGTAATACTGAAATTTTACCATATAAAAAATTACGCAAAATTGCTGACGACTATATAAAACTACCATGTCAAGCCGTAAAATGTGCGCTTGTTGATATTGCACCTGTGGATGGTAATGAATGGTCTAATAAGGTAAGTTTTCATAAATATATTTTTTAATAATTAGAAACAATAATATAATTCAGGCTTTGCTGTTGATAATTAGAAGTAACTATATGTTAGACTAATTAGTTTAAATTGTCATCTTTTTGGTATGGAAACATTTTAAATGTTCAAAAGAATAGCATAAAGTTGTTTGGAATGCAAGTTTTTTTTTAATTTGAAAAAGAATTTCTAAAAGTAAGGCACAGAATTTCTAAATTAGAATATGCAAGAGTATTTTTGTAATAATTAATCCTTTGATTATGTTATAATTCTGAAAAATGAATGTAACATTAATTTATTTGGTATCTTTTGAGAATTAAATGAAAAATTTTAGAAATGAAAAGATTTTCAGAATTTTCTATAATAGTTTTCCAAGAAGAAATATCTTTTACACAATATCCATAAAATCTGATTCTAGCTTCAATAGATTTATGATTTAATTCTCAGTTTGACAAGAAAGTTGTTTAATGGTAAGTCATACTGGGAAGGCAGTTACCTCTTTATTAATATTTCCAGAAAATATAAAATGTAGACTGCAAGTTTGGAAATAAATTTTTTATTAAATTTTTTGATAAAGCAAGATACAGTACTATTAATAATGTTTTCCTTAACACAGTTTTGGTTTCATGATTCTTTAACTGAACAAAACTGAAAATTATTTAACATTTTTCAAAATATAATAGACAATCTTTAAAAAATTATGATGATAAAAATGCATCTTTTGGTTTTGTGATTCTTCAATTGTGAAATATTTTAAAACTCCAACCATTAGAGGCCACTTTGTATAGTGAATCTGGTGAAGAATGAGTATTAAAAGATTTTATGTATTTTGGATTATTATTTTTATTATAGATAGATAATAGGAAGACATCTTTGGATATTGTGTGCAAATTGTTTATTATTACATGGACATTTTCAATTAGTGAAATAGCCTCCAAAAAATGTTGAAACTATTAAGTATTAACTGTTTTTGTTTGTAATGATATTATTTTTTAAAGGATTTTTTTATTGTATTTTCTCAAATTTAAAACATTTTCTGTAATAAAATTGAAATTTTGCCACAAATGAGGAATTGCTATTCTCAAGATCAAAAATATTTTAAATCTTTATTGTCAATAAGAAGTTGACAAATTTCTTTTATCATATCAGAAAGTATTTGACTGAAGATAAATATAATCTCTCCTAGAAAATTTTGTTTGTATTATTTCTATCCATTTATCACATATGAGCATTTATTTTATTTCTGTTTAATTAAAAAATATGAAAAATTTTAATTTGCATTTCTGTAGCAGTGTAGAAGCAATGTATACAGATCTTTCAGTTTTCAATGAATAGAACTAAAATTTAAAAAAATGTCAGATTACAGTTGATTCCATTATCCTAAAGAATTATTTCTGAATGTTTATCTACTAAAATCTAAATTGTCCTCAAAGTTAATGAGACATATAAAACATCAAGTGAAAGTCTAATGTGGCTTAAAACATATCTTAAAACATAAAAATCTATATTGTGAAATATTATAAATTGATGATAAACACTCATTGACAAAAGTCACATACCTAGATAGAATTGTTTGATTACTCAGAATACAGCTGTTTTGGGTAGATATATAAATGATTGCAGTTGTAGTCCAATTGCATGCCAGGAATCACAAAACCAAAAGATTCACGTTAGCATTAAATTGTTTTAAAATTGTTTTATTCCAGTATAGATATTGGGATTCCAGTGACAGTATGAAGTCAACTGAACACAGTGAACTGTGAGTGTTTTGGCTCACAGAAGCTCACTGTGTTCAGAATTTTTAGTCTACCCGTTGTTTGAAGATCTTTAAACACCAGGCATGCCTGTATGAATGGCACAGTCAGACATTAGAACAAGATTGATGGAGTTTGACAAAGGCTATACATTGGCTTATGAATGCAGGATGGTGGTTTTTGTTTTATTTTTTTAATTGTCCACCATCTGGGTTGTTCTGACTAGACTGTGAGAAGTGCTGTGATAGTGGACATATCAGGGCAGACATACATATCTGATATCAGGCTCTGGACACCCCAGACAGATAACCAGGAGGGATGATTATCTGATTTTGAGAGAAGTGCAAACAGCTGTAACAGTGTCTTTGTCTAATATTGCAGACAGGTGAGACTTGCTATAGAACTGTCTCTTTCTGTAACATTGGCAGATGACTAAGATAAATTTCCCTGCATGACAACCACTATAATAGCACCCCACCATCATCACAGAAGTAGAGACTGCTGTTGGTTGGTAGTGTATTGTCTGCAGTGAAAAAGTGCAGCTATGTTTGGGAACAAACAGTTATCATGTTATAATGTGGAAGACAACTGAAACTTTAGTTTTGCCTTTACTATTGAACAGCACACTGTCCTCACCATTAGCATGATGGAAAGCCATTTTCAAAGGAAGCAGTTTATTGAAAATTGAGACTATACACCCAAATAAGGGGTAATCTTACAGGATACTAAAGGTTTTTCTAAGTTATACTGTTGTTCCACAGAAAATTGTCCCTTTGCTATGATACTGTAATCACTTATTACTATCATCATTTCATTTGATTAATAAAGGTTTCATATGATTCCAATACCATCTTTTTGCTGAAAATTTTTTATTGACATCTCATTTGATCAAAATCATATTTATAAACAAGTTTATAACCTAATGCTAAAAAAGTTTTTTCTAAAAACATTTTCAGGCTACTACTTGGTTTACTGAAGCAGCTGGAAAGAAAACTCTTTCTGTAAAAGTTCATAGTAAGATTTAATTTATTTTTTTTATTTAGTATCATTTAGTATTAGTATTGTTATTTATTAATATAGAATTACTGAATTTTGAATTAATATGGGATGTCTATAATTAAAGTATACTGCTTATATTACTCTGGAGACAAAACTATTAGACATAGTTTATAAAATTTTGGAGGAATGTTTGTCTCAACATTGAAAACTAAGCATAGTTTTAAGAATAGTTATAATTCTAGCCACTAGGAGTCTGTAATAGCACTACTGTCACAGCAACATCAAAGAAACTGTTTACAATCTTTTTGTCACTCTTAGTCACACATTGTAACAAAGTTATCACATTAGCAAGAATTGAGTGCAACATGCCAGGACTAATAAAACTATAAATAAATAAGCAATTACCTAGAAACCAGCAGTTAATTCTCTTTTGAACAAATGTTTTCCTTCATCTTTAATGGTCATCATCAGGTTTCTATGTATTGGAATGTTTGTAAAAGCGAATTCTAAGAATTTAAAAAATTGTACATCATGAAGATATGCGCATGTTCAATGTTGCATATAAAAATTATTTTTCGAACTAGCTTCCTATTTTTAAAGAAATTTGATGTTTATATGAATTATAATGACAAACTTGACAAAGTAGGCCCTCCACGCAGCTGCTAACAAGTCCATTTCTTTAAAATTGATTGATGTTCTCCTCTTAAATGCTTTAAATATCTCCAGCTGTTTGAGATATTTTAGGTTGGCCTGGTCATCACACTGTGCAGTAATCGTGCATTATCAAAGTCAACCCTGATGTCATTATCAATGGTGAAAGAGACCAATTTCAATTGTAGATGTTGACATTTTGTATATTAGTTACTTCATTAACTTAATTTCAAAATTTAAATATCATTCCATATTTCATAATATAATAGAAGTGAGCTCCATACAAAATTGATTTCTTTCTATTGTTAACTTTTACATTCTTTTTGAATGCTACCTAATGATCTATTCTGTATATATACTATATTCTATGTTCTATGTACTAATGTAGATAGCAATTGGACAGCAGTATAAAATTTATACTGTTATCAAATTTCTATCCAGTTTCATAATTATGTACATATAGGAGAGTTTATTAATTTTTCATCTATTCTTTTATTATTTAAGGAAAACATTGAGATGAGGATTCTACATAACTCCAGCAGAAATAGTTTAAGTAAAACCTTTGAGCCCTAATAATTGTCTGTACTGCTTCCAAAGTAAACTAATTTATAAACAAATGATGATCTTAAATAATAAAGTAAAGTACAACACAATTTCTATAATTAGCTATTTGCTAGTTTGACATGTCCAATAATCTGATACTAATGAACTGTCAGGTATTACAAGCACTGTTGCCAAGTCAAAGACAAGCTTCTTACTAGCTCAAACTCCATTTTCCACTAAATTTGAACACCTTCCTTGAAAACACAGTATGATAACAAGCCCAAGCTTGAACACTTGAGTTTGGGCATGATATTGAAGGTTATCATTTTAAAGACACAGTGTCTTACAGCATAATATTCTATAAATATAAAAATAAGGCCTTCAAAATTTTCCATTAAAAATGCTGTATCTATATCTCTCATTAAATTTCCCGTAATTTCTTCAATTTCCCTCTAAATTCATTTTGAATCCCATCACCTTGATGATACTGATTATTGATGGTGTCAGCATACGCAAATGTTTTAGTTGATAGTTCAACTTGCTTTGCTGTATCATTAACAGTTGACACTATGCTGTAAAATTTATGTATGTGCTCAATTGTTTTATTATGTCAATAGTATTCATATATAATCACATTTTTATTGTTTTTAAATTGTTAATGAATCAAAATTTGTGAATTTTCAATAATAAGCAATCTTCTTAATCCAATACTGTACTTGATAATCCATATAATGTTCGTTGGATTATCAAGATTGTACTGTACAGTAAAAACAAACTCATGTGAACCAGAATTGGATGATACTGAATTTTTTTCCATTTTGGCAAGTTTACATTTCTAACAAGTTTTAGTTTTTTTATTTTTAATCTTTAAACTATACTAGATGTCACATAGTTACATTTGTTTTTGTAGTAAACTTGTTTTAACATATGTAAAATAATTTTATTAATAGGTTTAAGTGATTCCAACCAACAACGAGATTATTTGATTCAAAAAGTTCTTTTTGATGAGAACTTGTGATAGGTATTTGAATATTTCTTGGATGCAATCCTTATGAGCTCATGACAGTGAATAAGCCAATTTGAGTATCAAAAACTAGTCTTGCTCTGCCTTTGGAAAGTTTAATTGTATTATAATAATACAGAGACCCAAATTATTCTGTGATCTAACTTCTCAAGGAATTTTTTATACTTTAATTAATCACTAACTTCCAACTATAATTACCAGCAATGTTAATCAACTTGTTCTTGAATACTCTGTAGTAATTACAGTGGATGATCAGTTAATGAACAGTTCGGACCACAAACAAATTTGACAACAAACACTTCTGTAAAAGATTTTTATGTTTGGACAACAAACACATGTTCAGATAACAAACACATGACAGAACAAACACCAGAAGCAACATTGCATTTAAGATTTGTAAAACTAGATTTTAGTGGCATCTATACATGGTTTATGGAACAAGACTTTCACAGTTGTATACATAACCTTTTTTGCACTAATTAATTTCTGTTCTCTGAATTTTTTTAAGTGCTTTTCTGAACTTTTTATTTAAAAAACTGATAATATTTATGGGGCCTATAGAGTGGAGTGTCAAGAACTATGTTCACTATAGAAACTAAGCAAATGATAATAGCCAAGGTAGAGAGTGGGCAGAAGATGTCTGATATTGTAAGCAGATGACTTCAATGGGTCTACAGTAGATACAATCTTAGCTGAGAAAGATATAACCAAAAAGACTCGAACAGATAAAGGAGTAATGAAAATCACATCTGAGAAACAAAGATGTGCCAACCATAAAAAAATGGAGATATTTCAGTTTGTTATTACATGTAAATAAACATAATATGAAAGTATATAATTTTTTATTTATTTTTTGGGGTCTCCAGAATGAATTAATCAAATACTTAAATATAATGTATGTACTGGATGATAAACTATACTCACTGCCAAAAGTTAAGCATGGAGCAATAAACTGCAAAAAAATTGACAAATACAGCTGTGATTGATACGAAATGCAGCAGGACAGTAACAAATATGTTTATGCATGAAACAACACAAAGAATTAAATAGAAAAATTAAAACAATATTGAATTTTCATAAAGTATAAGATGAAATCATATTGGAATCGTTAACAAAATGATGTTTAAATCCAAAACAAACAAACAAAAAACTGATATTAATAGGGTAAATGGTCACCCCTTATCCTTACACAAAGTTTATAGTGTGTAACCATGCTTTCGATGAGATGATCAACCACTCCAGAGTCAAATAAGTGCCATTCCTCCTGTAGAACAGTTTGCAACTCTGTGAGAGTGGCAGGGGGAAACGTGCACACACAGCATGGCCGAGGGCATCCCAAAGATTCTCAATGGGATTGAGGTCTGGCAAATACGCCGGCCAATCCATATGCATGATTCCCTCACTCTCGAGGTAGTCATTGACGAGGACAGCTCTATGGGGTCATGTGTTATCATCCATTAAAACAAAAGCAGGACCAACTGCTGCAGCATACAATTTCACAATAGGTTCAAGGACTTCATCTCAATACCAGATAGCCATCACAGAACCCCCTCAATAGATGTGCAGGTCGGTGCGATATCCCAATGAAATGCCTGCCCACACCATAATGCTTCCACCTTGGAATGCGTGATGCTCGATGATGATCTGGGGTTGATTGTGTGTGCCTTTTTCTTTCCATACTCTTACATGTTTGTCATCTGGCTCTAGGGAAAATTGCGACTCATCCGTGAACATAACGTTGCCCCAATCAGACACAGTCCAATTCACATGTTGCCGACACCACTTTAATTGTGTGCCTCTGGATTGGACGGATAGTGGAACACAAACTCATGGTACCCAGGAGTACAGTCCATTCATGTGTAGCCTTCTGCGCACAGTAGTAACAGACATCGTTTTACCAATGGCTGCTGAAACCATTGATGTCACACATGTAGAGGTTGCTCTTCGATTCCGCTTGGCTACAACAGCAATATAGCAATCTTCTGCAGGGGTCGTAATTCTTTGGCGACTGGCCACAGGTCTTCAGACAACTGTTTGGAACATTTCCATAACCGTGAAATGATGAATGATGAACGCCGAAGGAAAGAGCAACATCTGTGATTGATTGCCCTGCTTCAAGGTGTCCTACACACTGCCAGCATTCACTGTCTGTCATTCGTCTTTTGGAAGTCATAGAAACACGTCAGTCATGCACACTAATTGTACGACAGTTCTCCACACTTTCTCGGCACTTACATGCAACTCCTCTCACACTTCAGAAGGCTGGCTGTTTTGCATATTTCACGACATGTAACCATGATTGATAGTAACGTAACATATTTGCATACTTCCACCTATCTCTGCAGTAAATTGCAGCCTCTTAAATGCAGATTGCTTTCCGGACATGAACATCTTCTGCTCCGTGCTTAACTTTTGGCAGTGAGTGTATGAATAAAACACACCTTTAAAAGTCCAGCAAATAAATATGAATAAAATAAAAACGTTTTAGACTGTTTTTTTAGCAATCTTCCTCAGTTAACATAAAAATAGAACAACAAAATAGAATGTAAATATGAAAATATAAATAGTGGAAAAGTTAGCTGTGGTCAATAAAATAAACGAACACATAAATAATAAAAATTAAGTTGAAAATGTCACTTAATAAAAATAAAATTAAACTAAAATAAAAATATCTCTTGACATTAATTTTCATAAAAGGATCACTATGCGGTAGCTAATATATCCTCATCCCTATGGTTGATGCAACCAGTTCTCTTGTGTGCTTTGAAGATCTCCAACTTGTCAAGATATTTCATAGTGTGTAAATTCGTTGTTGGTTTAATCATTACTGCTTGATCCCAATGGACTTAAATGTCTTGTTGTCTTGCATAATTGGCAAATAAAAAATCTCTTATTGCACAAAAACAAGGAGATAATTTTACAGAAGAATACATCAATTTAAAGTCCAAGACTGTCATATATCCATTGTCCATTAGAGAAATGCTTTTGAGACTTTCTATAAGTTGCAGTGAGTTGTTAATTGAGAGTGGATGGCGATGAGCTTTAGATCGGAAGAATTTGACCATTGTTTTTCAATTAAGAATGTTGGAGAGTTACATTTCTCGATTACAGGACATATTTGGTATCCTGGTTTGTGCGTTTTGGCAAATGAAAATATTCTCGATGAACAAAATCCTGATTTGTGTCATTCATAAATTTTATGATCAATTCAATGTCTGGTATGAAGGGCTCTGGCAGAAGCAAGGAGGCCATAGCATAAAGGGGAACAAAATTTAAGGCTTCTAAAATGCATTTTTGGGGTACAATGTTATCCTGTGCTGTGATATGGGAGTTTTCGCTTTTGTTGTGTTTAAGACATATTACACTGTTGTTTTGGCTTTAGCAATTGAGGAAAAAATCTTATTCAGGGAAATAAACAAACTTTATTGATTACCTTGTATTATACCTATACACACTTTCTTTGTGTTTCAGACCATCAGGTCCCTCCTCAGCAGGTTTACAAAAACATGGTGCTAAAATAAATTTATAAAAATTAAAATAATATATAACAGAATTAAGAAAATAAATTTTCCAGACAATAATATATGACTTAAAATTTCCTTATTGTTTTTTCTTGTTTTTGTTCCTTCTTAAATTTCCTTAAAATTTCCTTCCATAATTACTTCAATATGTAAGTAAATACGCAGAAGAATTCCGATCACTATGTTATAAATCCTGTATCAGGTTAAAAAACATCAGGTTAAATATAATAATCTAAAAAATTCATATCGATTACCTGACAAATGACAAAAACAATTACTTACAATTTTTCCATTGATATGTAAATGAATACAGCAAAAAAATTCTTATCATAATACAGAGTACATAATACAGTCTTGCAGCTGCATATAATGAATAGCTTCTTCACTTAGTGTATGCATTTATAAACTTTCTATTTCACTGCTCCTGTTATTGAGGATACTGTTCCATGATTATTGGATTTCTCTGTCCAAGTTATTTTTTATTCTGTTGCTTTGTCATTTTATGTAAATATGTTTGTATTACTCTCTTTTATAATTGTTTTTTTCTTTTTTCTTCTTTTTTATCGTGTCAAACAATTTTACAATTTTCTTTATTATAATGTTCAGCTACCGCCAAATTTGCATAATTACATTTTATTGCTCTGATGTGTTCCTTTATCCATATTTTTAATTTTTTTCTTGTTTCTCTTATGTATGTTCTTTTTTGTCCACAGCTGCAATTAAATGAATAAACTACATCTTTTTCTTCTATTTTATCTGTTTTCTTATTCTCTCTATAATTTAAATATTGTTTGGTTGTATCTACTTTTTCTAGTATTAAGTTTATTTTGTCATCCAATACTTTCTTTACTCTTTCAAATAATTTGGGTATATACCTTAATTTTACCAATTTTTTCCTTTATCAAATTGTTTTTTCTTTGTGTAGTAATATCCATATTATGTATCCAATCCTTTAACAGCTTCTTTGGGTAATCATTTAATATGAACATTTAAATATTTGTTCTATTTCTATTCTTTGACAATTATACAAATGTATTTACATATTTACATTTTTTCATTCTTTTTCTGTTAATAATAAAATCAAAAGGATGGACAAATATGGGAGAAAGGAATAAATAGGAAGTACATTAGGATTAATTAGGGAAGAATAACTAAATATAATGTTGATCAGCTGATGTTAACAACCAAGGATAATACTAATCATTAGAATTGGAGAAAATGACTCCTGTTTCTCCATAAAACGAAAATAACAAGATCAGAAAGATTATAATTAGAAACAGATATATAATTTTCAAATATTTTTACTAAAGATAATGTTGTTTGTTTTTAATACATAAATATGTACAGTACTGGACAGAATTATTAAGAGTTCTCTTTTTGTGAATACAAAGGGAACATTTGTTTTGAAAATATATTTTTGTTATTTCTGTTATATGTGATGTGATGTAATTCTGCTCATTTGACTTTTAAAATCAAAATTGCAATGTATTGCATTTAGAAATTGATTTTTATTTAATTTTGATTATTTAATTATGTATTTTTTCATTCATCAATTATTTATCTATTTCATATTTTGAAATTTAAATAAACGTAAATTATTATTATTTTTTTTCCATTTGTTAGAAGTGATCCCAAGAGAAGGAACTAATCAGGTTATTCTTTATCATGTTAAAGAAAATTCAGAAATATGTATAAATGGGCTAATTGTTAAGGAAGGAATAGCTATAAGTACTGGAAATGAGTAAGTAATTATTAAAATCTATCTAATTATATACAGGTATCTCTCATATAACACAGTAGATACATTCTGAAAAAATATCATGTTACACAAATCAGTGCTATATGAAACAAAGAACTTATGCAAAACATAGGGTTATATTTCAGAAGTTAACAAAAGTATACTATTCTTTTTGATTACTACGAGAAATATGTTTATTAAAGCAATCAATACTTTATTTTCAATGAATAAATAACTAACAAGTACAATTAAAAGTACTGTTAATATTAATTTTAGTTAAACCATGTTGTTTCTTTTTACAAAGTACAGTTTAACCTGCTTATAACGCCATCCATGGGACTGGCAATTTTTTGACGTATAACCGAGTGTCGTTATCTGCAAGGTCATAATTTCAGTCCCATAAAAGTATCAAGTCTGTTTAAGAATCTATTATAAAATTCATCTAATTTAATATCGTGTGTATAAAATTGCAAACTAAATGTTTAAATCAACTTTATTTACATTATTATGTCTAAATTTACAACGATGTAATTAAAAATTTCAAAAATTACCTTTTATAAGAAATTTTTATATGTCAAGTTTCGATAATGGCGGCACTTTCAGTTTTGAGAATAATGTGGAATCAAAAGGCAACAAAAAGTTAAATTAAGCAAGAAACGAGAAAATTATCATCCAGGCGATGATAATTTTTCTTGTTTCTTGCTTATCTATCAATGGACATGAAGTCCAATATCTTTCACTTTTAGGTTAAATTAATGTATATCAATTAAGAAGAAACAATAAAAATATTCACTTAAAAAAAGTCAGTTATTTTAGATTGTAGGCATTTTTCACCTAAAAATTGTTTATCAATGTCATTTTCTAAGTCGTAGATTTTGTTCATTATTTCCGATGAAGTTTTACGAGACCTGTAGAATTTGCTAAACCAAAGTCTCTGCATACATCTGCCTTTTTTCTTCCACTTTCAACTGCTTTAATTATTTCTATTTTGCAGTCTAACGTTAACGCTTTCCTTTTCAAGCTAGCCATTTTACCTGATTTGATGCTAAACTACATGAGTATGAGAGCTATGCAGACTAACCCACTGTCACGTCGTTTAAAGGGGTGGTGCATTCCACCCCACCCCACCAAATCAGGTGGTGACAGTACCACCCACAATTGTTCTAGGAAGCGGACTCTGACCCTAGGACTGAACACGTAGTATTTTCTTTGATAAATAAAATTTATAATTTAATTTTGTAAATTTGAGAGTGCTTCAAATATGACATTAAAACAGGGTTTTATGTCATTACAAGTGGGTTTTTTAACATTATCTAGTATAGTAAAATCGTGGGACCGATAAAAATTTGACGTTATATTAGGGTTGTCGTTACATCCAATGTCGTTATAATCGGGTTAAACTGTATTGTCATCATCTTAGCTGTTTTGTTGATCATGATCAGAAATATTGGCAATATTTTCATAATTTTTATTTTTATCATAAAAATGTTTATGGAAAATATCAAAATAAAAATTTGTTGTTAATTTGTTGTTGTGTTTGTTCAGTTGAGTACTGAGCAATTTTTTCCAGAATTTTTTGAATACCAAATTGTTTGAGTTGGGAACAGTTTGAGTACTGAGATACTGCTGTATTTCATTTATCATTTTTATGAGTGAATACCTACCTGTGGTTAAAAAAGGTTTAATACCTACCAAAAAATGTTTAATCTTTGTATTTAGTAAACTTTATTTAAGCTATAGAAATGAAACACAGTGACAGTCTTAAGGGCTAAAGTCTGAAAGCAATGACACCTGGTTGATAGGAAAGTTAGGACAAGGAAGAAAAACATTTTATCAGTTTTCATTAAAGTAAACTTGACAAAAGGCACAAAATAAATTGAAAATTTCAATATTCTAAATCTTTGAGCAAATTTTGGACAAGACAAATGCTTACTTGAATAAAAAATGTATTGAATAATGGAGTTTACACTTAAAAACTGAAATTTTGTACAGAGACTTTCCCAAATTGTATTGGAGTAAAACAGAAATCATGTTGTATGGAGTATATCCAAAATTTTCAAACTGTGTTGTATATCTATTTTTTTTATGCCTGTGACTCAAGTTTTACTGGCTCTATTTTGTTAAACTTGCAAGATATCAAGTTGATATTTAGCAAAAATAAATATTAATTACTGTATGTGAGATCCGGGGTTTATTAGGCTAATTTTTTGTAAGAAATATATTTATTATTTAAAATATTATTCACAAGGGAGGAAGTGACATTTATCATTTTGGGAGAAAAAAGGAAATCAATTTCCTTTCTCACACGGCCTTATTTATAATTCAGATGGCCATACATATGTCTGTTTACCCCCTCTGCACTTGACACATATCCCGTATGTTCCTCAGATGCTATTGGCCAGAGATCCCATTTAAAAGGGAATTTTCCCACCACTCAAGCAGTCTTCCACAGTTCAAAGATGCCATAGAAGCTAGTCCATTGAAATCCAACATTGCCACATAGACAAGGGCAGTTCTCTACAACTCAGAGATGCCATAGAAAAGACTCCTCGCCATATGTATTTTAACTTTGTGCACTAATATAAAGAAGAAATAGAAGTTGTTCCACATTCACCTCCTTTACTCATCCACTAAAGAAGAAGACTACATAGTTGAGGTAGTATGTGTTTGATAATTGTGAACTCTCTCTCTCTCTCTTAAGTAATCGTTCATGCGAGGCATAAGAAAATAGTTACAGTAAGACCCCGCTTAATGCTGCCTCACTTAACACTGATTCAATGTAACGCAGTCTGCTTGATGCCTGAAAAAAACGCTCAAAATTTATGCTGATTCAAATTAACACAGTATTTCATTGATTCATATATAATACGATTATTCTCAAACAGGAACCAATCAGCAAAAGGTGGCAATTTGTCAGATTGCTGTACTTTCCTAAAATCTATGTTTGTTTTGTGCAATTTTGGAAAAAATATAACATCATAGATGCCATAGGAAATAGTGACTTGGATTGGCAAGAATTAACTGATAAACGCACAAACGGAGTGTGGGAAAAGTTATGGCTGAAGGTATCCAACAATTCTCAATGAGAAGAGCCTGTCGCTATATCATTACATTGACTAAATTGTCAACTTAATCAATACAGGAGATGTTATGTAGATGAGCAGGATATTGGGGAGTTACTGGAGGTTTCTAGTAAGAGCCTTACGAACGATGACTTCAAGAACTGGCGGAACAAGGAATTCATGTAGAACTTGAAAATAGAGATTCTGAAAACAAAGAACCCAAACAACTTGCTACAGATTTCTTTAGTAAAAGTTTGGTAACAATAACCAAAATCGCTGATCAAATTGTAGCAAATAATTTGGATTTTGAAAGGAGTGCAAAAGAAAAACAAGGCGTTTTGGATGCAATCTTCTTCTACCGACATTTGCTTAAGGAGAGAAAAAAGTGACAAATGAAACTTCACAACTTTATTGCAAAAAAACAAGATTTTCAGAAAAGTCAGTACCTTTGTCACAAAAAATGAACTAATTAATATATTATTATACATTTCCATGTGAATATGTTTATCTGTTATTTAACATATATTATTATACAAATTAATATAAAAATAACTTAAAATTAAAGTAAATTTTTTTCTGGTTGCAATTTCCCCTATCCCTATTTACTCTGTTAAAATGGTCTTGCTTAACACTGTTTTGCTTAGTGCTTTGTCGTCTTGGAACTCATCCCGCGCGTTAAGCAGGGTCTTACTGTATTTAGAAATTAGATTGTTAAGTTTGACATGATACTTTTGCCATCTTATATTGTTTGTAGAATCCTGTATATAATTATTTGCTTTAATCTAATAAATAATGTTTGTATATTCTATATCTGAATTCCATTCGTTTATTAACTTCAAAATATTTATCGCCAAATAGCCCTCCTATAGATTTTATATATGCATGATAGGGCGTGAAACTCATCCCTATCTGGTGTCAGCATCCTGACATAGATCGGGATCATACGATCTTGATTTCCACATAAAATCACCATCCTACGACTACTGGGACGGATCTTACTGATCCACAGCCAATTAAGTGATAGAGAGTTTATTTCAGACTTTTTACCCCCGGTTATACTCGCTTGTATATTTGTTTTTAATTATGTAAAACATTTATGCAATGAATCAAAGCTACTTTTTTTTTAAACCTGTCTATTGGGTGGCATGTTAACTGTGGCCTGATCTTAAGTTTAGTGGTGACTACACTACTGTATTATCAGAAGAAGAGTAATAAAAAGCTAGTGAAAATTAAATTTATTCTAATCAATTTTTCACCTGTGAAAAAGCAATAATAAATACCCTGAAAAAAACTCCAATAAAATGCTAAATAAATTGGTAAAAAAAAGTATATTAAGAACTACTTTTTAAAAATTTAGTTTGATTTTACATATTTAACTTATTAATATTATTAACATCTAAGATGATTAATTTATTCAATACATTGACATTAATGTACTGTACCTATATTTACCTATATTTGAAAATTTTGTGTTTCAGATCTTGTATTATTGAAATTCCGAGAGATATACCTCCAAGGAAAGTTTCAGAAGAAAAATTTGAGCACATTAATAAAGTTAAATCTAGCAATACTAAGAATAATGAAGATGCTCCATTTATTATACCATCAAAACCACCACCTAAACCAAAAAGTGAAGATAAAAAAGGTTATATTGCTGTAAATATAAGTTATGTTGAAACTCCAGACTGCATATTTTTTCATCTTGCCAAACAAAAGCAACAATTAGAAGAGTATGTATATGTACTTTTTAAAAATTTAATATTATATTAAGAAATTCACTGTTGTTATATAAAAAAAAAATTATTGTTATAAGAATTTTTTTTTAACTTTTACCACTCTTTAGACACTAAGAGTGCCTTTTTTTTCTATACCCATTGTGGGTTTGGTCAGGTCCACAATTAGAATGATTGTATGATGAGGGACTGACTGGGCCCGACATATTTGAGACTGACTACCCTTGAAAAATTCCCAGGAGTTGCTCGTCTGGGTTCAATTCTGGGTTTTTGGAGTGACATGCCAGTACCTTAACTGTCTCAGCCATGTGACCATTGAATTTAGATGCTAGAAGATATTTTCTAAATATTTAAACAAGGAATCATAGTTAATATTTAAAATAAAGAATTTTATATTTTTTTTCAAACTTGCTGTTATATTATAATTTTCCTTAAGACAGCATTCTAATTGTTTAAGTTTAAACATGTTTTTAATATATTTTTTAAAAGAAACAAAATCACTGAGAAATGTTACATGTGTTTAAAACGGGTTCGAAAAACTTTGAAAATGTTAACAACGGGTTGAAATTGAAGAAAATAAAACATATGCTGTCCTTAATCCTAGCGATAAAAGATGGTATCGAGCATGTGTGCATAAGATAAATGATAACAAATCTTGTTTGGTAATTTATTTCTAATTCTTTATTAATTTTCAAAAATTTTTTAAAAAAGATATATTGAAAATATGACTTCAAATGTTTCTATATGGAAGTAAGAAAAATTAAACATTATGTTGTGATAGGTGCAGGTGGCAGCGGAGTAAAGTAAAAAGGGAACTGCTTGGTTGGAACAGTGTGTTTAATCTATGCTATATACAGTACACATATGAAAGAATAAATGATATGGTACAAAATACAGGGTCGTCTTATATAAATAAAGATCTAGGCATCACCTGGAATGTCCCTAGAAGAGTGTCATGATACTCTCACCAACACATTATTATGTTAACAACTGCTACTTTACAACTGGTTAATATTAGATAAAAATAAACACTGCTAAAACCTAACAAACCAGTGAGAAAATTACACACAAAGTGCAAATGTTTTCATGCATGTTAAATGGGCATCATCAGGCAACAAACTGCTGAGAAGACAAAGGGATATCCGAACACGTGTGTAGGGGGAAGGGGTATATGATGTAAGAAGAGAGAAGACCCTCTGATAAAGATTTAAAACAAAATATTTCATAGAAAGATTTTCCGGCAGTGGGGATAGAGTCAACGTTGCAATATTAAATATTACTTTTAGATTAAAAGAGTTTTTTTTTAAGATATGTTAAAATTTGTTTTACTATTTTTCCTAATGTGAGTTGATTTTACATTAATCAAAAAAACATGAAAACGATTTCAAATTTTAGAATGCAATTAGATAATTATAGTTTAATGTTTGTCTCATTAAATAGTGCTAAACAGTTGAGAAATTTTTGTACATCATACTTGCTTTTTTTATTCAGTTTGAGATACTTAAGTATAGTAACTGAAACAGTAGATCAGCATATTTGCACATGGGTAATACGTAATAAATTTCTTAAATACTGCTAGTTTCATGTGTGTTAGCTATATTAATAGAGTAATGGATGTGCTAATATTTATTTTCAACTGTTTTATGCATTTTAAATACATCTAATTAAAAATACAACACTAACATTTTAAATACTGATAATGTATTGTCAATTAGAAATGTTTGTTTTAACAAGGTTTGAATTTGAAACATGCTCCTCTTATACAAATTTTGCCTGAATAAACAATTGTAATGCTGTTAAAAGTACTTATGAATTTTATCCTAATTAAATTTTAATTAAATTCAATAGACAGTTTCATTTAAGTGTTAGTTTGATAAGTGCAAAATGTAGAGCTGATTTCAGATCATTTGGATACTCAAAATTTTGAAAGATTGAATTTTTTTTAACTTTCAAAAAACCCTATTTAAATCTTTTTTTCCTTTTTACTTAAGACTAACTTTGACCAACTCTCAAAAGTATTTTAAAATTGGTTTAGTAGACTTCCAAAATTAATGTAAATTGATGGTATGAAACTAAATAAATGATGATTTTATTTATAACTAGCTCCGACTTCGCCTGGGCAGATTTGCAAACCCCATTTATATTCAGATTTCAACAACCATAGTAAACCAGATTTAATTGTTACATAACACTTACTGCTGAGAATGATGAGAATTGCTGAGAATCAACAAACTGTTTTCAATTTCATCAATTTTCTGGAACTTTTACAATTGTTCTATAATCGAACCAATATGCAATAACAAATTTGAATTTAAAATAGTTTGAACATTTGGTTAAAAATTGAAATATATAAAAATATTTATAACAATGTCTGAAATGTTATCAATTTAATACACCTAATTACTTAATGAAGACTAAACATAGTTGAAAACAAAAAATTGCATCTAAAATAGTACAGTAGAAGCCGTTCTTAATGCTCTCCCTTCCCCCCACAGGAGTATTTTGAAAAATCCCTTCTTAGTGTGTGTTTTCATGACATACCCTAACAGTGTACCAAATTTCACCTCTTTAGGTTCGACAGTTTGCTCTGGTTGATGATGAATCAGTCAGTCAGGACAAGTAATTTTATATATTTAGATTATTATGTAAGTTTATATATTTACAAAAATAATATAATTATTTCTATTCAGTTCTTTGGCATAGGTGGTGATTTTCACATAAATTAGTCTACTGAAAGTACAAGGGCTATTTTTTAAATAAGGTCCGTTTGTGAATGAGAGTGAGAATGGTGTACAATCGCGGTAGTATGCGTGCACTACTGCTCTGAGCAAGTTTGGCGCACATTTAGAAGTAATTTGCAGTCATATCATCTATGTGCTGAGCTATAGAAGTTTATAATGTTTAAGAAAATTGAGTTGCCTGCTGACTGAGATATGATCTGTTATTCAATTCTTGAGTACAAGAAACTTGGCTGCAGCGGAAATTCACTGTCAGATTTGTGAAGTTTACAGTTCGAAAATGGGTGAGAATGTTCAAGGATGGGCGGGTTAAAATGTACATGATGAGCCATGCCCTGGCCGACCTTCTCTGATTTCTGAAGATTTGGTTCATGATGTGGATAACAAAATTTGAGATGACCGACGATTCACATTTCAACGTTATCAATTGAATTTCCACAGGTTTCAAGATCAGTTTTGTATACCATTGTTTTGGAGAAACTGAATTATCGAAAATTGTGTTCTCGGTGGGTTCTGAATGCTTTCTGACGATCACAAAACAAAAAGATTGGACAGTGCTTTATCATTTTTGACTTGATATGATCAGGAAGGAAATGAATTGTTGGACCACATTGTTACAGGAGATGAGACTTGAGTGTCTTGCATGACTCCTGAGTTCAAGCAACGATCAATGGAATGGTGACACACATCTTCGCCAACCAAAGTGGAAGCCAAACAGACAATTTCAGCACAAAAGATCATGGCAACTGCCTTTTGGGACAGGAAAGGGATTTTGTTAGTGGATTTTTTGCTGAGAGGCACAACAATCAATTCTGATGCATATTGTGTGACCTTGAGAAAACTCCAGTGTGCCATACAAAATAAGTGGCATGGCTTACTGTCTTCCAGTGTGATGTTGCTCCATGACAATGCAAGGCCACATGTACATGTTTCTGCACAAACACAAGGTCTGATCAGTTCTTTTGGATAGGAACAACTGGATCATCCACCTTACAGCCCAGACCTTGCACCCAGTGATTTTCACTTGTTTCGATACTTAAAGGAGTTCCTTGGTGGTCAATGGTTCAATGACAATGAAGAAGTGAAAACTGCAGTCATGGATTGGGCTTCTTCACGGGCAGCAGATTTCTTTGAAGTTGGAATTCAAAAAATTGTTGAGTGATATGACAAATGTTTAAACAAATATGGAAATTATGTAGAAAAGTAGATAAAAGTATGTAGAATATGGAAAAATATATATTTTAATGATATTTACACTATTTTTCTTCGTATTAAAAAAATGGACTTTATTTAAAAAATAGCCTTTGTAAATATATAAAATGTAAAACTGAAAAGCTAAGAATTTGCAAATTAATTAATTTTTATATATATTATTTATCTATATTTTTTAAACATTCGATTTGTGATATAAATGGAATTACTCATTAATTAGTAAATTTTCATTTCAATAACAAAAATTTAATGTAAATAAAATATAAAAAAGTAATCTCAATTAAATAATTATATCATCACCATCAACTTTCTGTTTAATACTCTATGGCAAACAAAACAAAACCAAATAAATTGCTGAAGATCAGTTTCCTTTAATTTGAATTTTATCATTTATAAATCTACATACATTGTGATATTTATACTATCTGTGGCTTATAAATCTGTTCCCATTTCTGTTTAATGTAGCTTTAATTTTAAGTCATAGCTCAATTTATTCACTTTGGGGGTTTTTTTTTCAAGATCTCTCTTACACGTCTAACATTATTCTTTCTTTCTTTCTGTATACCTCACAGTGTAATGTGGAAACGAGACAGCTATTGTAAACTACCATTGCAGAAAACAAAATGAAATATATTTTAACTATTTTGTATTTCTTAGCTAACACATTTAACAGTATGAGAAATGCCAAAACAATTATACCCTTGTCAGTTATTTTTACTTATTGTTTGGATAAAAAGTCAGGTAGGATAATTAAAAAGAATAAAAATCATTTAATATTCTTTTTTCTTTTAAATATTTCATAAAAGTTTTTAAATTTCCAATAAAAAATTAAATCACCTTNTTGTTTATTTTATCCAACTGTATACAAATTTATAAACGCAAATTTCTAAATTAGACAAACTGCGATATTTCTTTTACAACGCTGGAATATTAGACACGAAATAAGATTCTTTAATGCAGTTATATAATACATTTACTACTGAAGGCCACTGATGCATTTTCGTCACGTGATGACAATTCAACACTGAAATCGATCGTTTGCGTCATATTCAAAAATATCTTTCATAACAGAAGCTAAATTCGCTTTATGTAACGAAATAAGCTGCATTATAATCGCGGAATTGAAACTGAACCTAATATTGTTCGATATTCACATTACGATCTTCGATACCTAACAGTAAAACATGTATTCAGGTTACAAGAAACGTAGTTTGTGCTTTGTTTGTTTTTTGCATCCAGTCCTCGTGTCAGTAGAAATATTTGCGATCAAAACAATGTATTGCGATTATAAGAGGCCCGCCAAAAAATGGAAATATCTGTCAAAGTTATATCCAATGTACAGTACAAACAGCTATAGAGATATTTCAGTGGACTAATATAATACTTTCTACTCAAGAAGTAACAGACAATTTGGTGTGTGTCGGATGGATCCGAATGATGCCAAACAATAAAATACTCATGAAATGTACTGTAATTTCATTTTATATTTTCTTAGCTTTTCAATTCAGTTTCTTTAAAAGGAAGAGACTTTATTTTCCTAGAAATAACAGTGGATACGAAAGAGAGGAACAAATGGCTAACGATATTCAAATACTTTTTATAGCTGTACTTACACTTTTATTTTTTTCAATACTTCCATTTGTTACTGTAATTGACTTATTTCTGTATCCTACTTTAAAGGAAATAACTAATTCCGAGTTTGAACTCGCATTCTGTAATCTAAATATCACATTAATGTGCATTTACGGAATTGGACAATTAGATTGTTGTGTACTTGTTATGGGTGCAGGTGCCGTAATTATCTCGAAGAGATTCAAGAATTTATCTGATTCAGTCGATGAATTGAAAAAAGACGAAAGTTTTCTGAGGAATAAAATTGAAACCTTGATTGAAACTCATTGCGATTTATGGTCTTATATACAAGAATTAAACTTAGTTTGTGAAATATACGCTCCTGCTGTATATTGTTGCGCAATATATCAGACAAGTTTCTTCTTCTGTGCAGTTTTTTTCTTTGGAATTGATGGTATAATGCGTCTTGCAATTTCTATAATTTTGATTATTCTGGTTGTCGCAACAATGGTTTTAACTTTTCAACTATCTCGTTTCACGTCTTTAGTAAGTTAATTTTAAACCTATCATGTTTTATTAAGTAAATANTAAAAAAATTACATTTTCTTATAGATTTAAGTTAGTGATCAATTTAAAAAACACACATGCTTTTTCCATTATTGTAAAATTGATCGACGTGTATAAATCGATTAAAAATATCCATTAATTGAAATGTTAACAAAATTCAACTTCATTCCTTATGCATATTTTCGTGTTTCTACTCGAGTGATATACTAGAATTAATGCTCAGTTAATCGTATTTCCAATTAGTTATAATATTCCAGATAGTAAATTTCACGAATAATCTAAATCAATATTGCATGAAGGTTCAGAAAATTCTGTATTGATAAGTAATCAACTATTCTCAAATATTATAGATTTCTTAATTGTTTTTGAAATCAGAATGATGGAACGAGTTCGCTTTGAAGCATTCAGAAAAAAAAAATTTTATTTAAATGTTAAGGAGTCGTATATTTTAAAAGATGTTAGTTATGATGGCCTTCCTGTAGACTTGTTTATTAAAGAAATTCATTCTGGAGCATTGGAAGTGACAAGTGTTGAATATAGAAGTGTGACTGAGATGTTAATTGAAAAAGGAGTTGCTCTTCCTGCAGAAACGTAAGATGAAAAATAATCTTTATATTATGTGATGTTTTGTCAAGTTTATTAGTGTTTTCAGAACTACCCATTACCCACATTACCCATAAATACATTTAGTAAGATATACAAAAGGTTAATTTCTATTTTAAAAAATATTACTAAATGGAATGTAAATAAAAAATAATTTGAAAGCAAAGTATCATAGTTTATATATGATACATATTAAATCACCAAACGATCGCCTAATTATCGGGCTATAATATGGCTACTTTAAATGATTGGAATAAAGTAATTTGACATTAGAGGTAGGCGTTAGGCACCATCTCTTAATTAAATTAATAATTAAAATTAAATAAATGAATTACTCAGGCTGTGAGTTGATGTTTATATATATACATATTAAATATTCAAATTTAAAATATGTACATTTAATTAATTATTGAATTAACAGATTATTTTATTAAACAAACCTGATACACTTATACAAGTATTACCAAATAATTTGGCAGATTATTTAGTATAAAATTTTGTTAAATTATGAAAGAAATAACTAAACTTTCTTTTAAGTTATTTGTTTATTTTGGTTTCAACTTTTCCAGTTATGTGCATATCCTCTTGTATCATATCTTTGAAATCATATTATTGAANGAGCTTACTTAAATTTGTCTATGTAGGTGTCTGTGCAGATGTGTATTTATATATATTTATATTAAGATTGAGAAAATGAAATTTGGCAAAGTGTCTTTTATATAAGGGGCATTGATGCTATTAAATTTTGGTTGTGAAAGGTCAAGGGGATGCATAGATAGAGGTTGGTCACATGTCATATCTCGAGAGGGGTCATGCTTAATGAAGATTTTATTTGTTGTTAGCATTTAAAGTGTTTTATAAAACTCATCTCTATCCTCAAAATTAAGTCTTTTGCTATTTTATAATAATTTAAAATATGTACATTTTATTAATTATTGAATTAACAGATTATTTTATTAAACAAACCTGATACACTTATACAAGTATTACCAAATAATTTGGCAGATTATTTAGTATAAAATTTTGTTAAATTATGAAAGAAATAACTAAACTTTCTTTTAAGTTATTTGTTTATTTTGGTTTCAAATTTTCCAGTTATGTGCATATCCTCTTGTATCATATCTTTGAAATCATATTATTGAAGTAAGCTTTCTTCATTCCTTTAAATTGGAAGCAAAATAAGTTTGATTTACAAACTCTACTTAAGTACACACATTTCATACCTTATGGAATAAAACAAATCTACTTATTTGAATACTTTCAAAATTGAATCTTAAATTTTGATACTTTTTTGCATTAATAAAGAACATGATAGTTTGATGATAATAATTTTACTTTTAAAATCCTTACTCTTTAACAGCTGTTTGTATGTAGAAATTAATCTAGCATAACCCATTTATCTTTAAACCCTAATAAATCTTTGGAAGAAAAAGTTGTATAAGATGATAATGTGTGATCATATAAAAACAAAGTACTGATGTTAATGTAATATATTTAAAATGTTTAATATAAAAAATTATATCCAAATTACTCTGTCAGAAATAGAAATTTTAACACCAGGAGGGGTTACATTAGGTAAACAAAAATTACACAGAATATTTATCTATGTGATTTATTACGTTGATAATGATTTTTGAGAGTATAACTCACGAAATGTGCATGCAACACTAGCATGAATGTCATCCATCTTAATAACCATTGCCAAGTTGATTGTAGCACCATATGTACTGTACTGTACACAGTGGTGATATTCGAAATATTTAACAAAGGGTTCGCTAAGAGAAAAATTTTCCTTAACAATTTTTTTTTTTTCGCACAAATGGTGCATTAGCAACATTAGCGCAAAAACTGACCTTAAGATATCCATATAAATAAAAAAGATACGTTCGCAAAATTAAGTCAGTTAAAATTTAACATTGTTTATGCCAGAACAATATTTTTTTGATAAATAATAAAAAAGAGTGTTCAAAATGGTTTATTTTGTACATATTTTAATATTTTTCATTCAAAATATTTTATAAACATAAAAATTGGCNGGTTTGCGCGCCAATTTTCGTACGTGCGTTAATCGAGCCGAATAGTTTGGCCGAATATTCGGCTATTCGGCCACGCTCTTGGCCGAATATTCGGTATTCGGCCTGAGGCCGAATATACTATTCGTTACAACACTAATTTATTATAACCTATTTATGAACAATGAATTGATATGTTATTCTAAGTTATAAGTGGGTTAACGTGATAAATGACTGATAAGAAAAATGTTTCTAACATAATTAAGAAGTGCCCAATGTTCTGAAATGAAAAAAGATGTTTAAGTATATCTTTTATATGTAAGTTTTTCCAATAGTATCTACAAATTTAACAATTTGTCACAACTGAAAACTGAGATATACAAACTTTCAAATATCAGTGGAACCATTATATAAAGTAATATTCTTTCAAATAATTGTTTCAATTTGTGTAATAATTTTATTCTTAACTTTAGTGATCTTCTTTAATCATTTCTGAAAGACTCGACTCTCCATTTTCAAGAATATCTCTTGTAATGATAAAGATTTTACTTTCAACAATTGATATCAGCTCCTTCGGAGTCATTGAGCTGCCTTCAAAGTTGGGTTAATGGCGATATCTCAGGGTAACAGAAAGTTTATGATATGTTCATAATTGTTATTGGAGATGGCTGAATATCACTTTATTCGAATGCGAATATAAAATTGATGTGTTAGCTTGGCCCGAATGACTACGAGAAATATTAGATGAGAAGCGGCTTGGAATAGTTTTGTAATCAGTTTTATCGACTACGGCCGACATTTGTTGCTGTTGTAACGTGAATCTGCATTCGAAGCTATTTGTAAGTTGTTTCTAACTAATGAGAATGCAATAATATTTTTAAAATATGGCGAGTACGAAAAATACGACAACGTCGTTCAGACAGTTTGAAAGAATGATCGATTTTATGAAAAATTATATTATTAAAAATGATAAATGATAAAGTTAGGAATAATTTTTATGGTTCTAGTTCAAGAAGAATTACAGAGAAATACAACAGAATCATTTACAGCGCATTCAGTAAAAATCAGAACAGCCAACATTTTATTAAATTAATAAATTGAAAGTTCTACCATTTATTGCTGTCTGATAGTTGTCATTTCTTACACACTGACGATATAATTTTTCTATTTCTTATACGATTCTGTATAAATTAGCAGGCTAATTATTCATAAATAAATGATTTATGACCAATAATGATAAGAACAATTCAAAAATTTAATTCACATATATATATTATTTTAAACTTAATTTTTAAATATGTTTTACTGGATGTCTATGAACCCGAATCATCTAACTAGGATATCTGTTATTGTTGCTATGACAATAAAAAATTGTTCTCTGCTTGTAAAGCAAAGCGTTGTTAATTCGGAAAACGCAAAATGGTTAAAAGCAAGATACTTTCAGCGTTTGTAAAGGATAAAATAAGTGTTTCGAGTGAAGCTAGTGAGTCAATAAATTCTATCGCTAAAAAACAGGAAGAACGATTTGAGTGATAAAGAATTATTTGACGTTGGGCAAGTAATATGCAGTCAAAAAGAGTAACGGAAGACCGCAAAAACTTACTTCTCGTAAGAAACGAGCAATTTTAAGGAAAATTACGAATAGTACAAGCTATTTCAGAAATATTGTTGCAATACCCGAATATGGAGTAAGCTTGGGGACAGTTTGGAACTTAGTTTATGCTGCCAATTGTATGAAATCTCCAGAAGAAAGTCAAAACTAATGCTTACAGACAAGCACAATGCTGCTAGACAGACTTGGACCAGAAATCACATTACCTGAAATAAAGAGTGGAGGAATGTAATATGGTCAGATGAGAATAGTTTTAGTTTAGATAGGGGAGACCGGAGCAAGATCGGCATGTTAAGCTTTACTTAAATTTTGTGTGATAAATACTGCTGTAAACTGAAAAAAAANTGCTAAATAAATTGGTAAAAAAAAGTATATTAAGAACTACTTTTTAAAAATTTAGTTTGATTTTACATATTTAACTTATTAATATTATTAACATCTAAGATGATTAATTTATTCAATACATTGACATTAATGTACCTATATTTACCTATATTTGAAAATTTTGTGTTTCAGATCTTGTATTATTGAAATTCCGAGAGATATACCTCCAAGGAAAGTTTCAGAAGAAAAATTTGAGCACATTAATAAAGTTAAATCTAGCAATACTAAGAATAATGAAGATGCTCCATTTATTATACCATCAAAACCACCACCTAAACCAAAAAGTGAAGATAAAAAAGGTTATATTGCTGTAAATATAAGTTATGTTGAAACTCCAGACTGCATATTTTTTCATCTTGCCAAACAAAAGCAACAATTAGAAGAGTATGTATATGTACTTTTTAAAAATTTAATATTATATTAAGAAATTCACTGTTGTTATATAAAAAAAAAATTATTGTTATAAGAATTTTTTTTTAACTTTTACCACTCTTTAGACACTAAGAGTGCCTTTTTTTTCTATACCCATTGTGGGTTTGGTCAGGTCCACAATTAGAATGATTGTATGATGAGGGACTGACTGGGCCCGACATATTTGAGACTGACTACCCTTGAAAAATTCCCAGGAGTTGCTCGTCTGGGTTCAATTCTGGGTTTTTGGAGTGACATGCCAGTACCTTAACTGTCTCAGCCATGTGACCATTGAATTTAGATGCTAGAAGATATTTTCTAAATATTTAAACAAGGAATCATAGTTAATATTTAAAATAAAGAATTTTATATTTTTTTTCAAACTTGCTGTTATATTATAATTTTCCTTAAGACAGCATTCTAATTGTTTAAGTTTAAACATGTTTTTAATATATTTTTTAAAAGAAACAAAATCACTGAGAAATGTTACATGTGTTTAACAACGGGATCGGAAAACTTTGAAAATGTTAACAACGGGTTCGGCCGAACCTGTGCGAACCCGCTGAATATCACCACTGACTGTACATGCATTCAACTGTAGAGATCTTGGATATCATTTCACATCTGCTGCATCTGCAATGGTTTTTGCTAGTTGTGGATGAGCCTGAATTCATTATACAATCACACATATGTTCTATTGGCAAAAGATCTGACAATGTGGCTTGTTGTAGTAATACCTTGACATTTCAAACAGCATGTTGGCAGTATGGTAACCAGCATTATCCCAGGCTCTCTGAATACTGTTCACGAATGGCAGAACAAGTATGATCATCCCTCTGATGTTTGTTATTATGTCTGATTTATTACGAAAGTCTGCTGTCATGGTGTTTGGAGTAACTTTGGTTACCTTAAACATCATGACAGCCAACTTTCATAATAAACTCCTAACAAAATAGCATAAAAAAAATCTCTTTCTAGACCATAATGACTAAGATTGGATGTTATGCCAATGGTGGATGCTGCTTGCCAAGACATTCTGTATGCCTCCTCCTGATCTGTGTAAGTCCATCATAGGTATGAAGACAAAAACAGTTCTCATTTGTGAATAACACAGAATTCTATTGTCTCCAATTGGCTCTTTCATGACACCACTGAAGATGCATGTGACAGTTGGCAGTAATGAGTGACAAACATGCCTGAAGCAGAGGTTACTCTCCAGTTGATGGTTCCAACCCATTCTTGTGGAGACTCTGGATACCACTGCTGCTTGAATTTGCACTGCAGATGGCTTCCAATCTACCAGGGATATGCTTCTTATGTGCTATTGTTCTTCCACTCCAGTGATATGGGAAGATTCGGATCTTGGTCTTCTGGTAGTAGTGTCTTCCTGGACCATTGCTGCTAACAGTTGTACACAGTGGACACATCTCATCATATTCTGCAATCTCATGAATTGAAAATGTGCCCTCTTGTGGTCTACCACACCATCTTGTTGAAAACTAGGTTAATTGCTGATATATAGTTTGTTGTCACCTTTGAGGCTTTCTGCACATTACAGCTAATATCACCACAGCCTTCCACAGTGAAACTAATGCTTATAAACAGCTCAACACATGTCTATTGGAAACTTCTAATTTGCAATTGTTACGAGGGCTGTTCGGAAAGTTCGCAGCCTTGCCTATATGCGGCGCTGCGATCAATTTAATTTTTGGCGGGAATAATTCAGCCATCTTTGCTAGAGATATGATACCAATTTTTGCTTGATTTGTCAAAAAGTTTTGCCATGACAGCTTAGTAGATAGTCAGTGTGCAGATGCTCAAAAACAGAGACTCGTGCGGTCATAAAATACCTGACGAAAAAAGTGTTGACCCCATCTCAAATCAAAGCTGACATGGATGAAGTTTTGGGAGAGTCTGCTCCTTCGTACACCACTGTGAAAAAATGGACAGCCCTTTTTAAATCTGGCAGAGAGAGTGTGGAAGATGACTCTCGCAGCAGACGGCCATCAACTGTTGTCACTGAAGAAAATATCCACAAAGTTCACGATTTGGTATTAGCAGATCGCCGTTTGAAAATGCGTGAGATAGCTGAGACATCAGGCATCTCTGTCGACCGAGTGCACCACATCCTAACCAAAAATTTGGGTATGATGAAGGTCTCAGCAAGGTGGGTGCCGCATCTGCTGACTGCCGAGCAAAAACGTGTTTGCACTTTGATGTCAAAGGAGTGTTTGGACTTCTACCAGAAAAATCCACAGGATTTCTTGAGTCGGTTTGTGACTACTGACGAAACATGGATCCATTACTACACTCCTGAAACAAAAGATCAGTCAAAGCAATGGAAACACCACAGTTCGCCACTGCCAAAGAAGGCAAAGACAGTTCCATCAGCGGGAAAAGTGATGGCCTCGGTTTTTTGGGATGCTAAAGGCATCATCTTTATTGACTACCTAGAAAGAGGAAAGACCATTAATGCTGTCTATCACTGTGAACTTTTGGAAAAATTGAAGAAAGAAATCAAAGAAAAAAAGGGCACACTTGAAAAAGAAAAACGTTTTGTTCCACCACGATAATGCACCTGCACATTCCGCCAGAATCACTGAACAAAAGATAAACGAACTTCGCTTCCAATTAGTTCCACATCCACGTACTCACCTGATTTGGCCCTCAGTGACTTCCACCTTTTTCCAAACCTAAAAAAATTCTTGGCTGGAAAGAGATTCCACTCAAATGACGAAGTCATCTCTGAAATGAACGAGTATTTTGCACACCTTGACAAATCAACCTATTGTGATGGCATAAAAAAGCTAGAACATCACTGGAATAAGTGCATAACTAACAACGGAGACTATATTGAAAAATAAAAAACGTTTTAACATTATTTTGTTTGTTGTTCTATTTGAAGCCGCAAACTTTCTGAACAGCCCTCGTACATGCATTCTGTGAGTTGTGCCCTTGAAACTGGTATTAATATAGATGTATAATACTGTATAATAATTCATATAAATAAATATTCTGTATAATTTTTGTACACCTACTATAACTCCTCCTTGATCTTCGTGATTTCCATTTCAAACAGTGACTTTACACATTATTCAATTAAAACTTTCTCACATGTTAAATTGTAATACATAAACTTAAGAATCAAATGTTTTTATTTCACTAAAAGGAGAAGAAGAAATACTAGTCCAAAAATCGAAGAATTTAAAAAATCATCAAAATCTACTATTGAAAATGCATCAAAGTCTGAAATAAAATCACTGTCATCAATAACAACAAATCCATCGCAATCACCTTCACCATCGCCAACTGAAAACTTGACATCATTACAAGTGACTACAAATATGACAGTAACTGTCAATCAAAAGGAAAATGAGAAAAAAATTGATGACATAAATGCATGGAAACCAGCTCCTGCTCCAACGAAGAATGTTTTTTATGGTGTTCCCACTCATGTTGGAGAAGATGGATGCATTTACTTACAACCGGAAGGAGAAAGTATGTATACAAAAATGATTCAATAAGTTATTTCATTTTAAATATTAAAATATCAGGAATATAATAATAGTAGCAGGAACTCATTGAAATTGAGTTTTATTCAATTAAAATACAATCAATGAGCTCATTTAAAATTTGGCATTCTAACAAAATTCATCAGTATAGCAAGTGTTTTCTGGGTCTGTTTGAAAGTGATTTGTATCTACCTGTTCTTCAGTACCATAAGGCTTTCAATTTTGCATTTGGGTTGCATAGTGGTAATTTAGCATTCTTAAGGTTGACCAACTTTGGATTAACAGTGATGGCAGTGATGCCTGCCTAATGCAATCATCTTGTCCTGGGCTTTGTGAATAAAACTTTTAAACCTACCAACAGTCAGATGTTCACGTTTATTTTTCTGTTGGCAGATTTGCCAAGAAAGCCATCAATTGGCACTAAGTAACAAATTGGGTGGTTAGAATCACATTTTGGTCTCATCATGGAGTAACAGTAAAATAGAGAGATTGGTACCTTTGATAGATGGTGCTGCAGTTAATATTCACAAAACTAATTTATTTTTAAAAATTTTTATAGTTTATATAGTTATATAAAATCTTTTAGTGTTGAAAAATACATTTATTTATTTTACTAATATATACATTATTATTATTACAGATTTTAAAAATTAAAATAGTTTAATTCAAAAATAAAAGTGATTTTGAATTTTATTTTATTATTTAAATATATAATGCTAAGTGTTAAAAATAATGCAGAAAGACTATTAATTAACACATAATTAGGAAAAATAGCAGGAATTCAGAATAGGGCTAAGCAACAAATTGTTCTAATGGTTAAAAAAAAACTAAATTACTAGATGGCATGCAAGCACTTCCTGTAGACTTAACATTGTATATTTGCCACTTCATCACATCTGAATCATTGTGCCTTTCTCAAATCTCTCTTCAGTGGCATCATCTGCAGGGTAAGAGCATTAATTTGATGCCTGAACTGTATATTTAGTCTGTCAGCTGTTTACTAAAACTGTCTTACAGACTTGCCCTTTTTAAATTACTCTATAGATTTAAGTTCTCAATATGAACAGTTTCGTATAATATAAATTATCTTTTAAAAATTTAAATAATAATTCCAATTTGTATTTTGTATTTTATAACAGCTGTAAAAAATAATTTACTTCTTATAAAAAATGCACTTAAATTAAAATATGAAAATATTGAGAATGAACCTGCAAAATCATATCCTTCTGTTGGACAAGCATGTGCTGCAAAATTTTATCTTGATAATTGTTGGCATAGAGCAGTAGTTACTAAAGTAAATCCTCCAAATATACAGGTATGCAGTTTTTCATTAATAATAATGATTTTAAATGAAATTTAAAATATATTGTGTATTAAAACATGTTGTTTAGGTTACTTTTGTGGATTATGGAAATTCAGAAAATGTGAAATTAGAAAATATTCACTTAGATATTGTGTTATCAGACATTCCTAGACAGTGCATTGAATGTATTCTTCATGGTGTTGAGCCGGTAAGTATCAATTTTAAACTAGTAAACAATTATTTAATTACTTATCAATTATGAAGTTAATTAAATTGCAATAGAAAATATAGAGACCAGAATCATATTTTTAGTGGTATAAAATTGAAAAAACATTTAGAAAGAAATGTGTCAAAAGCAGAAATGTGTTTCTTTATGTAAAAATATATTGTTTTGTTGATGCATTATAGTTTGCCTTTCTAGTACAGTAGGTGATCGGTTAACAAACAGTTTGAATAGCAAACAAATTGGATAACGAACACTTTTGCAAAAGATTTTTATCATTGGACAACAAATACATGTTTGGATAATGAATACTTTACTGAGCAAACATAAAAAGAAGTGACAGAAAATAATGAATACTGATTGATTTTCCCTTGTCTTCAGGTAACAATTCAAAACATTTCAGAGCGCAGGAGATGTCAACATTGATGCTCAACCTGATACTGATCAGATAATATTCCTCTGAATTTTGAAACTCTCCCTTGTAATTCCAGCTTTTTGTTTACCTTTCTGACAAATAATTTTTTATAGTCTTTGCAAGACTGTCGGACAGGCACTTGTTAAGTTTTGTGTCGGGGGGTTTATTTACAAAAGGTGAAAATTTAACTGTCCCATCAGATATTCGTTAACGTTTTAATACCAAATTTCAAATTTCATCCAGGTCTTGCATTTAAATAATTTTTTGTGGACTAGTTGATTTCTGTTCTCTGAATTTTTGTAAGTGCTTTTCTGAACTTTTTATTTAAAAAAGAAACTGATTATATTATGGATCCTAAAAAAAGAAGTGTCAAGAACTGTGCTGACCATAGAAACTGAGTAAGAGATAATAGCCAAGATAGAAAGTGGGCACAAGATGTCTGATGTTGCTATGCAGTATGCTTGAACAGGTCTACAGTAGGCACAATCTTAGCTATGAAAGATATATCAAGAAGTCTCAAGCTCCTAATGGAGTAATGAAATCACATCTGAAAAATAACGAGCATTTTAGAGCTCATAATTGAACCTGAAACTGATCTGACAACAGAAGAACTCCAAGAACTCTCAAATGAAGAATACCAAGAAACTTGGTGAGATGTGTTTTATTTTAAAAAAGAGGAAGATAAAAGAGGACCAATGTCGACATCTGCTACTAAAGATCTTTTGAAGAAGTGGGAAGATGTCAGAACAATGATCATCCAAGTGACATCCAAACCAGAATAAGGTTAATAGGGTTGGGGATCTCTGCAATTACAATACTATTGATTACTTCCGAAAAATCCCGAAGAAAAAAGTGANAATAGAAATACATTCAAACTTTTTCTATCGGTCTATAAATTTAATATTATTAAACATTTTTTTCTTTAAAAGATGCTGAATTTTATGAAAAGATACGGTAAAACTCCATTTGGAATAAGCATCGGCGGATACTTTTATATTAAAAAAAACTTCTTTATTCGAGTAAGTTCGTTCAATATATTCTGTTTGACTTTATGAAACTTGTAAAAATATCATTTATAAACTTCGTATATAGTTTACAAATCTATTTTATTGGAAGAATCGTAGTAAATGTGTAACTCTCTTTAGGTGTAAACGTTATGGGCCAAGTGATTAATAGGGAATTGTTTAATAATGCGCAGCCATTATAAATAATGACTAAACTGGGTGCGCAGTCTGATAAATATTGATTAATTTATTAAATTGACCAGACATTATAAATACAGCTACATTCCCTTTGGACAATTTGATTTTAAAAAAGTCCATTTTTCGGTAAGAATTATTTAGTTTTGTGAAAGAAAGTCAAGCTGAATAAACTGGCCTAAGATAACTTTTATTTGCATTTTAAAAAATGACATTATTTATTTGATTACCTGATATTAATTTATATGTTCTAATTGTCCTGTAAATACAATCTGGAAGAACNACACTACAGAAGGCCACTATATTGAATATATACCACATTGTTAGGAAATTCCTGAATACAGACACTGACACACTTATTTAATTTTAGTTTTGTTTTTGTTGCTATGCCTTGACTCTGGTCCAGCATAGTAAACAGCCACTGGTGTCAACCGAGTATAACCCACTAATCCAACATAATAATAATTTTAATCGTAAACCATTGTCAAAAAAATTTAATGTTTTATTTTATTTATACGAGCAATTAAGATTTTGCTGACGTTTGGAATTAATTATTTTTCTTTGTAGCAATTTCATTTATTAGATTTGCTTCTAATTTTGCAGCAGCATCGAATATAGCTTTGGCCTCCAGAAAATGATGACATTCTTGCAAATTCTCTAAGCGAAATTTTTGCACCCGGTACATCTCTAACAGAAATAAAGTTTTCTTTACAAACAGTAAATTGGTTTCTGAANAAGAATACCAAGAAACTTGGTGAGATGTGTTTTATTTTAAAAAAGAGGAAGATAAAAGAGGACCAATGTCGACATCTGCTACTAAAGATCTTTTGAAGAAGTGGGAAGATGTCAGAACAATGATCATCCAAGTGACATCCAAACCAGAATAAGGTTAATAGGGTTGGGGATCTCTGCAATTACAATACTATTGATTACTTCCGAAAAATCCCGAAGAAAAAAGTAAAGCAATCTACATTGGACAGATTCTTTAACCCCTGCAAACAGAAAAAACATGACTAATAAAAATGCAAGACTGTCTATATATGTATTTTTATTATTACTTATAAATAAACATAGTAAAAAAGTCTATATTTTTTATTTTTTGGAGTCTCCGGAACAAATTCATCAAATTCCCATCAAAACCTATGGTAAATCAATAATTGGTTAATGAACAGTCTTAGAACAGATTATGTTTGTTAACCAATCACCCACTGTATGTCTTCCTTTTCATTAAGACAAAATCCTTAGATTTGTGTATCTTTATAGTGAATATGTTATTAAACGCTAATCACTTTTTAGTCAACACTGTTTTTTCATTTCCTTTTGAGTATTGAAACCTTGAGAGAATATGATTGTAGGTTAGAATTACAAATGTGACATCTGTTTAACCACATTTTTTTGCATACAGATAAAATCTACTGAAGTTATTAATATAATTTTAGTCATCGATCTAAGGTGTACTTTTCCTTTCCAACCAGTGGAGTGAGTGAAAGTTCAAACAATTGGAACTTTTTAATTAATTATTACTTATAATTTCAGAAAACAGAAAATGGAGAATGGTTGACTTCCACTTTAGACTTTATTCACAATAATATTGTTGAACGGAAATGTAAAGTAGTGGTAATGGTAAGTGAAATGTTGCTATTATGAAATTTAACTCTTTCTTAATGTAATTTATTCTAAAATACAATAAAACAAAGTTGTTAAAAATATAACTACTGTACAATAATTTTTTTAAAAGTGATAATCTACAGCAATACTTTCCATGATTAAAAGAAACAGTTATGATAATTCAATTAAAATTAAATGAATTTTATTCATTTACAATTTAATATATTTCTGTAAATGTTTTTAGAACTTCATTCTGTGGGTTGGATGGCCAAGGTCTTAAAGTAGCATTCATCAAATTCCCATCAAAACCATATCCAAATGAGTTGAGAAACACCAAGAATTTTTTGGGAATGGTCATCCAGATATGTCAGGCCTGTCCTGCCCATCCATTGAGGGTATGGCTGAACTTATAAGCTTCCTAAAGAAAGCTTTCTTAGTGCTTGCAGAGCAGAAAGAATTTTAAAATATATATATACATAGAAGAAAACTAAAATGTCTTCAAGCTTCCATCCTATCTAATCAACAGGAACAGTCTTCACTTTGTTCCTAACATTTTAGTTTTCTTCTATATATATATATATTTTAAAATTGTGAAATATACTGTCTGCCTTTTTAATTCAAATTCATTAAATGTCTTAAACACCGAGTATATTATATCATTTATTAGAATTTTGAACTTCTTCCATATTTTGAAACTGTCTCGTATTTTTTATTTGTTTTATAAGCGCATTGTAGTGTAATAACGATTATTTGGCACGATTCATTTCTTTATTTCAATTTCGTGCCAAGTGATCATTATTACGCTACATTGCACTTATAAAACAAAGAATTTTGAACAGTTAACATCTAAAACGGTCTAAAGAATAATTCAAAACTTTATAAATGACTACTAAATTAAATACTAAGAATTAAAATATTTTGCAAAAAATTTCAGTAGTTTTCTGCACTTTGTACCTAAGACTACATATCCAAGTTATAAATATAGTTTATATAATGTTATTGAGCATAAAATATAAATCTGAAAAAGTACAAATTGACAGAAAAGATTATTTTGACAATCTATGAATAAGCTGTATTTTATTCCCAAATATGATGCATTTCTATTTGTATGTATGTGTTATTTGCATTTGTAAAGATTTCATAAATGGTTTCAGTCAGATATAGGCCTACAGTATTGGACCTTTTTTTTGTGGACCTGGCCAAATCATGAAAAAGCTGTTGTAATGCAGAAATGATCATGATATTTATTTATATTACTAATTATATTAATATATATATATATATATAATATTACATTATTACTAATAAGAATCATTATTATTTATTTTAAGGATACAAAGAACATTGAAAATTTGATCAAAAGTATTTATTGATGTTGCCTATTAATTAAACATTTTTTTGTCATACTTAGTATCTTTGTCTGTTCTGCCTAAGATGATCAATTTTCCTGACATGGTGTATATGTAATTATACAGTAAACTAAATCCATAATTATAAATTACACAATTAATTCCAGAATATTTTATATNGAATATAGCTTTGGCCTCCAGAAAATGATGACATTCTTGCAAATTCTCTAAGCGAAATTTTTGCACCCGGTACATCTCTAACAGAAATAAAGTTTTCTTTACAAACAGTAAATTGGTTTCTGAAATATAATAGATTTAATATGCCATGTTTGATACCTGTCTGTAAAGGTTTTTATCTTCAATCGCAACAACGACACCTAAAATATTGTTTCCATCACTGCAGACTCGATCTACATCTGGTACACAAATCCTTACTGTATCATCGTTAGCTGCTGGGAATTTCGAATTCAATGTATCAATCATTTTTTCTTCTATGTTTGAATCAACTGTTTGGATTTTTTATTCGTCATTCACCGACTCTGTAATAATAATAACACCCAGGATTTTTTAAACCGGCATGATTAGATGTTTTTCATGTGAAAAGGATGTTCTTTCTCCTTATTAACGTTGGTCAACGACTCGTTGGGTATAAAATGCTTTAGTTTAACTTTTAACTTTGTTCCAAACATGTCCTCATAGTGATTGAAGTTTATACCAGTGTGGTGCGCTCGATTTTTCATCAGTTGTACAAAACGTATACTAATTTTTTCGACCATTCGTTAGTATTGTTAGTCGATAACCAAGAACTAAGCATATTTTATACGTTTTGATTACATCTTTCTATTAAACCCTGACTTTGTGAGTGCCAGACGGCCGAGCGATCAAAGTGAAGGTGACAGCTTACCACTCTGGGGGTACCGGGGTCGAAACATTCCCAGAAATTTTCCGGAGTGGTATGTCGGGCCCTGTCCCTCACCACCTGGCTGCCTCATTGTAGGCCTAGCGGAACTCATAATGTGCTTGCTTAAAGAGGCCCTCTTAGTGCCCAAAGGGTGAAAAGAGTTTAAAAGAAAACTTTGTGAGTGACTGAGCTTTTCATGCACAATTTTCAACTCAGGCCACATACTATACATTTCTTTGATGACATTATTGGCATATTTTCTGCCGTTATGGCTTTGTAGAATACTCGGTGCACCAAAAAATGTAAAAATGTCTAATAGAACATATGCTACATCTTCAGCCCTTTTGGTATTTAACGGGCGTAGTTGAACGAATTTAGTCAGATGGTCTTGGTACACGAATGTAAATTTATATTGCTCATTGGCTTACGACTGCATATCTATAAAGTCGGCCTGATATCGTGAGTTCATTTCATTACTTAAAAATGATTTAAATACCAAGCCTCTGTTAGGAACATTTTGCTTTTTTCTTTCAGATTTCACATAAGTTCAAATAATTTATGATTATCTTCCCTTGCCATAGTTTTATACTGTATTTTGTACTTAATTCTTTTTCCATGCGGCATGTCCAATAGCAATACGGACATCATGCAATGTGTGAAATATTTCTTTAGTGTGAAGGTAATATTTAATCACACTACCTTCTTTTACAGGCACAATTAATTTTCTACTTCTCCAATAGATACAACGTCATATCTATGTAATTGCTGATATTCTTCTGGAAACATAGAAGCCATTTTCAATTTTGACTCTCACTTTTTGTATCATTCACAAATACGCTGATTTTTTAAACATTTATCTATTCTGGTCTTTTATCTGCTATTAACTTGTTTAATCGGTTGTTGAAGCGATTATTCATATCACTTAATTATTGGTCCGTAGGCCTGCCTAATCGTTACCTCTTTCAAAGAAGAAAACACTATTTTAAGAGGCAAAAGTAAAATTAAAACCGATTACTGGATTATCTACTAGTCGCATAAATTAAAATTCAATACTAAACTGCAGCTCAAGTGCGAGTGGTGATTAGGTAGTGTATGTTGGATAATCACTTCTTAATGTATTATTAGACTTCGTCCGACCAGATGATAGCAGCATTTATAATGACCGGTGAATCTGATAAATTATGTTAAAACATCTGATATTTATTCCAGTGCCCGATTTTGTCATTATTCACAATGACCGGATGTTATTCATAATGGCCGCACTAATCACTTAGTCCATTACATACATAGTAATTTTGAAACTATTGTTTTACAGTTTCTGAGTGCCTTATATTCATCGCTGTCTGTGTTGACGGAACTTTTAATTGCAAAGAAACCACCTTCTTGTAAAGTTGAGATTACAGATCTCATTCAATAAAGCTATTGAATGAAATTGCTTCACAGGCTGACGAAAGTTTGAATAACAACAGACTTATTCAAGGAAATGAGGTATTTTTGTGTTCGAGAAATGAAATCGAATGTTTGAATGATTGAATTATTATAACAATTTGAAATCTTAAAAATGTGAAAGAAAATACTCGTTACGAAACTTCAAGATTTGACTTTAGACTCTTTCGTAGAAAGTTACGACATCCTTTTGACAATAAATTTATTTGTCAGTAAATTTATAAAATATACTAAAGTTTACTTTTTATTTTATNATATATATATATATATATAATATTACATTATTACTAATAAGAATCATTATTATTTATTTTAAGGATACAAAGAACATTGAAAATTTGATCAAAAGTATTTATTGATGTTGCCTATTAATTAAACATTTTTTTGTCATACTTAGTATCTTTGTCTGTTCTGCCTAAGATGATCAATTTTCCTGACATGGTGTATATGTAATTATACAGTAAACTAAATCCATAATTATAAATTACACAATTAATTCCAGAATATTTTATATTAATTTAATTTTTAATTTAATATAAGATTTTGATTTAATCACCTACCTTTAGTCTAAATCACATTATATCTATCTATTTAATTAATTAGTCAAGTTTATGGCCTGACAAATCTATCATTATCAGTTAATTAATAATAGATTTCTTGTATTAATTGTATATTTCATATATTTATTTCCTGTCAAAGTTTCAAATCATGATTTTTGTTCATAAATTCAAAACAATAAATAGATGTAGAGATCTGGTATAACAGATGTTAATTGTCATTTCCATTAGTACATTACCATTCATGCTAACAACTAAACAGCAATGTATTTCAATTTGCATATTGTGTGTACTTTTTAACTATAACATGCAGCTTATTTTGGTTAAAGAAAACAAAGCAGAATGGTTTTTCAGATGTTTCGTTCTTACCATTTTCTCAAAACTTTTATTACAACACAGTTTTATACCTAAACCTATCAATTATAAATGAAATTACTAGTCAAATAGAAATTAAATTAAATATTTTTTAAAGTATTAATATTAAGTTTGAAATATATGAATATATTTGCCTATAAAATAGTAAATAAAAAGAGAATTTTATTATTATTATAATAAAAAATGAGAGTTTTATAATACATTAGATTTAATCAGTTCATGACTGAAAAAGAATTTAATGTACTGTACTTTCCAATCTTAGGATCAGCCATTACCAGACAAAAGAATTCCTATTAAATTATTCTGCAATGACGTAGATATAACAAAGATGATAGTGGAAGTTGGTCATGCCAAATTAAAAAACCAAATTGAGTCTCAAGAAGAAAAACAACCACACAATCCCATTTCCAAACAGAACAATGAAGCTGCAGTAACTACGGTAAAAGAACAATATTAATTATATCCAGAATTTCTAACACTAAAATCAAGTAACTTTAATTTTTAACTTTTACTTTTTTAAACTTTAACTTTTAATTTACATTTATAAGCACATTATTTTAAAAATTTTTTAAATTTACACTGTTAATTATCTGGCAGAAAAGCAAGCAGTTTCTTCATAGCTGAAATCAGAAATGCCATTTTATAGATATACATTAGCGTAGCTTTACATTATTAAAAAGTTGATGAAACTGCTTTTATTCATAGAAAAAAGTAATAAATGATTATTATTAAATTGTTTTTATTTGTAGAAAGTAAAACCTGTTTTACCATTTGAAACGGCCATTCTTCCAGTGGTTGGAACGTTATTTCCTGTAGTTGTCACTCAGGTTTTTAGTTTTGATGCCATTTGTATTCAGAAACTTAGAATTGATAATCCAGAAACAGACCATGAAGAAGCAATTAATGAGGAGTATGATAAGTTTTTACTTATGATGGCAGATCTGTCTCAAAATGCTGAATGCTTTCCTCAGCTTGAAAACATTGACATAGGTGAGTTTGTTTTTTTTCCCTCCATAAATTTGAACTTTTAAAGCTAACTTCATATTTATTTCTTCATTTCAGGAATGGCATGTTGCGGGATGTATACCTATGATGATAATTGGTATCGTTGCATTGTAACCAATAAAGTCAATGATGATGTTTTGGTCACTTATGTAGACTATGGAAATTCAGAGGTTATTCCTATCAAAAGGTAGTGAAATTGAGTTTTTGCAATGTTCATTTTTAACCACTTAATTTTCAATCACTTCTTAAATTTAATATCATTTTTCAAGTTTTTTTTCATATAAATCTAGGAGTATTCATGTATTCATTTACAACATTCAATATTTTTTTCTTTCTATCTGAGAGACCAGTCTGTCAGTTCTTACATTCTGTAAAAGACCAAATTATTATTGATTAATAATGTCATAATAATTCCTGTCATTTTTTTTAAATGTTACTGAATTTGCTATTTTAGAATATTTTACAATTTAATGTTTTTTTTTTTTTTTAGATTAAGAGAATTGCCAATCAAATATTTTGCCCTACCACAACAGGCCATTGGCTGCAAGTTGTCTGGTATTAAACCAGTTGGTGGAGAGTGGACTGACGAAATTGTATCCAAAATGGAAATGAAAGTATTTCCAAAAGATGGAAATTTAATAGCCAAAATCAATGTAAGATATTTTTTCGATGAATGTGATAAATTACAATTAATTCTGATGTACTAAAATGGATTATTTTTATTTTTTAGAAATGGGACGAAACACCAGAAATCAGCTTGTTTGTGGAAAATTTCGAAGGTGTGACAGTGCTAGCTTATCAGAATTTAATAGACGAAGGATTAATTGAAATTGAAGAGGACATTTAATAAAATATTTCTAGTTAAACGTAATTTAGACAAGTATTTGTTAATGTCTTATTATGTCATTATGTAAATATGGTATAATTGTATGCTTCTCTAAAAGTATTACGTTTTAATTAAACAGTCGTTTTAAATCTTTTACTGTATTTGACAGCTGTAGTTGTTTCAGAAAGAATTTTCGTTTATTGTTCAATTTGCTTATTTTCTTTCTGTTAGACATTATTTTATTATGGTTTTATACTCTTATCCAATTTAATAGCACAAGATGTGTGTAAAAACTTTGAAAAACTTCAACTTTGTGACTTTGATATTTTGTAATAAAATTTCTTAAGTATTGTGTACACGGTTTTGTAATTTCATATAATTCTAAACATCGATACTAAAGCTAATTTACTCTGCTTATTTTAAACCAGAAATACGAATATTTTGGAACAGTTGAAGGGCATATCAATGTTTTAGCACACAAAATATTAATAATATATTACTTTATAAAATACGTTTCTGAAAAGAGTAGTGTAAAATAGTATTTCACAAACAACCTGCAGAAAATTAATGGAAAAATAAATTAAATGTTCAAGTTCTGCTATGAATTATTATACAGGGTGGACCATTTTAATAGATCAGTGGAATAACTTGAAAAATATGCATTCTACCGAAAAATTATTGGGTGGAGTTATCGGATTCGTCGTAGACGGCGCTACAATCAGTGAAAATGGCATCAACTTCACTTTCTTTAGTGCGAGCTCCAATTATTTTCCCGGCTGTTATATATACATAAGGGAAGCTATTGGAATCGTTCAAATTTTACCTTAAGAGTTTTTTTTTTGCAAGTTACGTTTTGAACCACCTCAATCCGAAAAATTCTAGCAACGAGTTGCGTAACTTTCCCGACTTTTATGATATTTTATTTTAAAAATAACATTTGTATTATTAATCAAAATAAATACAGTAACTCAAATTGNAATGTAGTGTTTAAAGTTGTTATAAATTTTGACATAGATGAATTAGCTTCCTGATTTAACATTCAGGTGTTAACGTCACAATTTAAGGAAACAAAAGTATTTATTATATTGTCGAGATTTCATTAACGTTGTGTAAACAAAAACTCTGCACAAAAATCAACTTCTGTATTCTTACAATAAATTGGAACACATAACATATACAGGAACACATAATTCACAAAATTGATTTCTTCAATTATGGAATCTTCCTTAAGTGGCCGGTTTGTGTGGTCTTAGTGTTGACGCCGACAGGGTTCGAAACTGCCGTACGTTAAATTGACAGAGTTTGGGCTTGATGAGCTGTTTCAGTTCCGCTTCATTTTCGGGAGACTACCTATTTTCGTAAATGGGTCTACTGACGTAACATATTCCGAATTTCTTTATAACAGATACTGTATTTGTTGCTTAGTGAGCAGTTGAGAGAAGATATGCATGCCATCTGAGTCGCATTTCTTCCAGAATACGATCAACAACTTGTTAATATACTGTAATTTTTTATGTATATCGTCATCTACTGATGGCGCTAAACTGAACGACAATGTAGATTGTCCCTTTGTTGTCTACCAGGATAACACTGAATCATTCCATAGGCAGTTCCATTTGGGGAACACTGATTCGTCTTTCAGATAGAGTTATTCGCAATAAAATCTGCTATTCAATGTTATGTTGAGAATTGCCATTTAGCACTCAGATCAGAATCATCACTGACCTATCTCATTGTTAAAAAAAACGCTAAACCCTCTTGCTTCTGAGATTTACAATCTTGTTTGTAATCCGGACAATACATTTTACATCATCTGGACTCGTGCCCCTCAAGGGATGATTGGCAACGGACGTGCAGATGCACTGGCAAAGGCTACTGCCTCTGACAGCATTCTTCCTAGTGCTTATAGTAACGTGAGTAACAATGTACTGAAAATACTTTTATGGGAGGATCTCATACAACAATGACAGCGAGATTGGACCCACTGCATGCTTAGTATCACTTGTCAGTTCCTGCCTAATGTCCGCGAAGCCATTACCTATAAATAGTTCTCCCCAAATCGCAATATCACCTAATTCCTGACCAACCGAGGACAATTTGTTAACTATTTGTTTAGTTTACATCCAGCACCAATAACCGGTGCACTACGTTTGAGTTGAAGACGAAACTATCCATTTCTTGATTCATTGTCCAATATCGAAATACGAACGACTGGAATTAAAGTAAATTGTACAAAGCAAAGCAGACAGTGGACTTGCAGATGCAAGGACTTCATAAGTGACAAAGAGACTTACTTTTACCCCCAGAATTTAGTTGCTAGGTTCCTACAACTGAAAAGAATTTTCCTTCACTTGATCCAATAAGGATTAGTTTACTATATGGAATAATAACCACTCTATACATTGTAGTTTCAAATCTTTGTATACACGTTTTTCATTGTAAATATTATATCATAACTGTTTCATAGTTTCACTTGTTTTATATCGCGGCTCTAATATACTAGGAATGTATATTAGAGAATATACTAGGAATGTATGTTTCGTAATCATATAAAGAATGAATATACTTTATGCAGAGTTTAACGTAGAAATGGATGTATACGTATTACAAAAACACTTTGCAACTATTGCGGGTTAATTTTACACAAGTATTCGACGTAGAAAAAAACCAATAGACAAATTGCACGAACGGGAAGATTCGTCGCGGAAATATTCAACAGATTACACAAATGATCGGAAGCATTCCATGTGCGCGCGGCGTGGCAGGAAATATTTCTCAATATGCAGAATGTACTGTACTGTACAGGAAGAATTCCACAATTTAACGGAACGAGTTTGAGTAACTGCGGACAGCTTAGAGTTTATAGATTAGATTGTTGCTCTTGCAAAAATTTCTCAATTTTTACTTTCCCCACTCTGTTATATCTGTATATAGAAAAGGGGAAGTATGGTGTAATATGTAAAAGTCAAAAATATGTAAAAGTCTCGGGGGTCATTTTTTGACCCCCGAGACTTTTACATATTTTTGGACTCATGGAACCTCGAAACGTTGAGTAATGCAAAAAAAATCGTAGGGTTTTCTGTGTGTATGGAATATTAGTTGTGTGTGTTGATGTCTATTTCGTTTAATATCTCGGAATGAGGTAATTATTATAAACGAAATTTGGCATGGTAACTTGCGTAAGAAACATTGATGTTATTAAATTTTGGTAGTTAAAGGTCTAGAGCAGAGTTGTCCATCCTTGTTTACTAATAGTACAAATTAGAAATTTAAATATATTCAGCGGGCCACAAAGTTACTTTATATAAATGTGAGATCCGACCTCAGAGTAAGCCCAAAATTGTTCATTTTCTCCCCTAAATTTTCGACGTATTTGAAATTAATTTGTCGCCTCCTCGTTAAAATAACATTGTCGGAAAAAAGAATCAAATATCGATAGAAACTTATAACTTTCCTCTTTAATATAAACATTCAACCCTCGAACAATGACATTCCTCTGCTGCAAGACAAAAAGTTTATAGTTAAAGTCTGAATTCGTCATTTTGTATTGGTCCCGGGAACAACTTTAACCCCCACACCTACAGGACCAACTCTACCTCTCACAATAGGGGATCACATGACTAATTTCCCCAGCCCGAAGCTATAAAAGCAACTTCTTTCCTCGTAGGAGGAGGAATCTCTCATCTACGGCTGGTCAGAAATGATTAAGTCTCGGAGGATTTTAACTTTGTGCGTCGATCGGAAGAATAAGGGCATAAACCTAACGTCTACGTTGAAATATACTACAGGTATGGAGCATTAAATGTAAACTCTCTCTCCGCGAGTTAGGAGCTAGCGAACCAAATTCATTTCTCCAGATGTTAGATTTTGTAATCGTTATTTTTTCGTTAATCTAATAAATCGTTGTTTCCATTGTTAAATGGTGTCATTTACTCGCATATCGCCTACGCCTCGTCGACGACCCCTCTCACCTCCTCCACTCGACCTNAAAAACAAAAAAAATTATACTTTAGAAGTTTATCTAGTATCAAAAATGTTTGATTCAGCACGACACAGTCCTCAGAAAAACACCACACAAAAGTGCCAGTGCTGCCAGCTAGAACACACACATAAACAAAAAATTATTGGAGTAGCCCAAGATATAGCCAAAGATTGCAGCGAAAATTTAAATTTGCCGACTAATTCTTTCGGATAAACGACGCTCTACTGTACTATAAAATGGCAAAAAGATTAATTTTAAGGGTGGGGATGAGTTTTATGAGAAACTGTAAATGTAATAATAACGAATAAAATCTTCATTAACTCTTTAACTTCTTTCGGGATACATGACCGTCACTATCTGCCTACCCTCTCGATCTTCTACCACCAAAATTTTATAGCATCAATGCCCTTGATGCTGATATACAGGCACTATGCCCAATTTCTTTTCTTAATCTTTGCCCCATTCTGAGATATTGAGCGAAATAGGTGCCAACACACACATCAGCGGAATTTTTTGATTACAGCATTTGGGTTCAGGGAATCTCAAAAAATTTGGTGTGTGTTGGTGTCTAGCTTGCTCAATATCTCAGAATGGGGTGAAGATTAAGAAACGAAATTGATCATGGTACCTTGTATACGAGGGGCATTGATTCTATTAAATTTTAGTCGTAAAAGATCGAGAGGGTGGGGAGATAGTAGGTGCATGTATGAGTGAAAAGCAGACTACAAAGAGTACCAGTTGGTTTTCAAGAGACTGTCCAACATTTATAGCTTTTTAAGGAATGATAATGATAGATACAAAAGGAGAGCAGGCTGGAGTATACAAAATCCCGTATAAAAATGAACATTTCGAATTGGAGAAAGAATACGTAGTGTTACAAACAGAAACCTTAATAAACGTCTTAAAGAACACGTGAGAGCCCATGCTAATGCAAATTATTTAGTTGGTAAAACCTCATTTAATTTCATAATTTTTGTTTTGTCAAAACAAAAATCCGTAAAAAAGAAAAGTTCAAAGTTCCATAGAGTTGAGGAACTTTATAAACTTCCCCCACAGATAGCACTTCCTCTGTGAGTGACACAGCTTCCGAATAACTATTCATCCAGTCGCGGATTGGAGCAACCGACAACTTCATCATAAATGGGCATTAGAATGGTCTGGAGATGACCCCAAATAAATGGAAAAAGGACAAATGACGACAGATTTTGCCTGTCAGAATTTGTGCACACTTATCCCCACCGTGCTCCATCCCCGATCTTCTCGACTTCCCACATTTTCATCGAATCTTAGCCGCCCCAAACAAACGAATAATCAATTGAAATCCACTGTGAGTATTGCTATTACAGTCTGTTAGATTTAAGACCCACCATAACTAGCGGGAGACTCTCCTTCCTTTCTTCAGGACGTGCAAAATTGATCCTGACTGATTCAGGTATTTACTAACACGCGTCCGA